TAGGGTCGCTATGAGTCGCAGGCGACTCGACGGCACTTAACAACACAACAACTGAGTCAAATACAACTCAGAGTGAACACGACAGATCTGAAAGTTACCCTATCCTGTGCCATCCTCTCACTTCTGACACAGTTGAGTCCATTGCTACAGTCACATTGTGAATCCATCTTGTTGAGGGTCTTCCTGTCTTATGCTGACCTTTCCAAGCATGATGTCCTTCTCCAAGGACTGGCCTCTCCTTTTAAAAACATGCCCAAATTAGGTGAGATAAAATTTCACCATTCTTGCTTTGGAAAGCACTCTGGTTTCACTTTCTCCAGGACAGACCTGCTTGGTCTCTTGGCAGTTCATGGAATACTCAGTACTCTTCTCCAGCAGGTGAGTCGTTTGAATTCACCAGCTGTTCTACAAGGGACAAATAGTCTCCTCTGGTAAAGACTTCAGAAGACCAGTGGAAACCTTCTGTTGGAGCCACCATGGCTGTGGGTTTGATTTTGTGTGGTACAATATTTAGCACATAATTAGAATTTTCTTTCTTCCCATGATGAGTTAATTTGTGAGCACTAGAGAATAATTTGTGCCTGTAGATTCCCTGAATCAAATCAGTGATTCGATCACTGATAGCAAATGAAGAAAAGGAAGCTATATTTAATGTTATCAGACAGAGACCCAAAGGCTCTGCACTGCCTTCTGTCAGTTGTGTGGAGCATTGCGTACTTACCACTGAGTATTGCTGTAAACGTTTCACATGAATGAAATAATTTGATTCTTTGAACCATAAGAGGTGGATACCTTTATCGTTTCACAGATAGGAAAGCGGGCACAGAAAGTTGCTGAATTATTCACGTGGTAACCCTTTAACTAGTAGTGGCAGAGGCTGGATGCACACCTAGGCATTACAGCAGAGTCTCTCACTGACTTTACTAAACTTCATGACTGGTGCGTTGGAGGCTTTGACAGGGAGTGAATTTTTGAATTGTCCTGTGAGAGACACAAATTTCTACTTTGTTATCAATTACACATAGGACAGTTCAGTGTCAGTATTGTTCCTCATTCTCAGTAAGTCTTGTAGAAGGCATTTGAGAGTCATGGATCATACAGGCCTGGCATCTGTCCGCGTGATTCATACATAAGCAAAAAAAACTTTGCTCTTCTTGTTATTAGTAGATACAAAAACTTTTTAAATAAAATTGAGGTTTACTTTTCATGAAAAGAATTGACATTAGCAATAGACCTTGAACAATAGGTTCAAGCAAACTACAAAAATGTAACACACATTGCTGTTAAAATGGTATCAAGTTCAACTCCGTGATCCTGCATTAGCTTTGTGAGGCTGTAAATCTTTGAGAAAAGGAACCTGCCCATCTTTTCTCCTGTGATGGAGCTGATGAATTCGTACCACTGACCTTTGGGTTGGTGGTGCAACTTGTAATACACTGCACCACTAGGGCTCCTTGTAGAGAGGATTTGGAAATTGAGAAAGGAGGAAGAAAGAGGATTAAGAGTATATATATGTATGTATGTGTGTGTGTGTGTGTGTGTGTGTGTGTGTGTGTATGTGCATATATATATGATAGAGATGCTAAGACTTGGAAATAGACTCACTTGCGGTCAAGTTTATGGAAGAGACTCTAGTCTGTATGGGAGTGGCAAGGAAGAGAGGGGTCTTGAAAGGTGGCTTGGGTGGTATTATAAAAGACTGTTCATGTAGCTGAGTGGGTGTAATAGACATGGTTTGAGGGACGAGAGATTGAAGCACAAAGACATCGCACATTGTGGTAACCCAGACATACATGGTCCTGAGTGACTAATGGGAAGAAAAGGACACGTTGAAAAATATTTTTTATGGAAAATTAATAGTATTAATAAGATACAGAGGTTGCAGGAAAAGGAAGAGGTTAGAATTAAGTGGCTTGGGTTTGGGGCTTGATTCTAGAAAAGAAGGAACAGGTTTTTCAGGCAAGTAGATGAGCTCAGGGGATGATATTTTTGAGATACGGCTATAGGTAGTGGATATTTAATTATTTGACTACTGTTTTGAACATTGATTCTCAAATGGAGATGATATTAGCCCACACATAAGACATTTGGCAATGTCTGGAGACTTTGGGGATGCTGCCAAGCTTACTAGGGAGCATTGGTGGCAGAGTGATAGGGAATTGCATTACCAACTGAAAAGTACGCAGTCTGGATCCACTGGCCGCTCTGCAGAAGAAAGGTGGGCAGTCTCCCGTGCAGTTTACTGCTTCTGAAAACCCACTGGTGCGTCAGCAGTGAGTCAGCTCCCTTTTGACGATACACAGTGGCAGCAATGGCACCTAAGCGACCTTCTTAGCGGACACTGGCCTTTCAGCCTAACAACAAGGAATCATCTACTGCAAAGGTCATTATAGCACTTGGGTGGAAAAGGCTTGTTTTTGGTGAAGGCAAGAGACATTTCAAACTAGTGTTACTGTGATATTTTTGTTTATCTAGTAAAATTGTTTATGTTTAAAGACATCACATTTACAATTCCCATTTCATTTTTACTGTCAATTCTTAGGCAATGTACCAGATCATTCAAAATGCTCTCCACAAATTTTGGCTACTTAGGTTGTAGAAATACAGACATGCAGAAGATGCAGTTCTTGTTGTCAACAAACCTCAGAGTCTAAATTAGAATTATTTAAAATGGCTTAGAGCACCACTCATTCTGAATAGAAATAGTCATTGATTGACTGGAGGAACTTACCTTTGAAGTGCCAACTCTTCAGTAAGAGATTTTGTTCAAGATCACTGATGGAGTTTGGAATATGATCCTCTAACTGTGTTACTAAGTAGGTTTCAGGGAGCTCTTGCGAGTAGAGAGAGTCGTGCTGCTAAACCCAAAAGTGGTGCCTCTCAGGAGGTTCAAATCAGTCAGTGGCCATGAGGGAGAAAACACCGTCCTTGCCGTGTCATTGGCGGCGGGGGACACCTGCTGGAGGGTCAGCGATGAGTCTGTTTGACTGCAGTGATTGAGTCCATGGGAAGTAGGTTTCTGCTTTGTTCTCACTGATTGTGGGTTTTCTGAGGTTGTAAATGGCGCGAGAGGAGAGCATACATCTTTCTCCCTCAGAGCTACTGGTGGATTCTAACCGGCTTCCTTCAGGTGATCGGTGCAACTTCCTCCAGCCTAAGCCACCAGGGCTTCCATCTACCTAACTAGTATCGGAAGTTCAGACGATTTCTGAAGGGTAATATAGAAACAAATTCTTAATGTTTGGAAATATTTAATGTATGTGCTTTCCACATACATTAAATATATCACATGTAAAAATTTTTAATTATAAAATATTGTAGTATAGACATTCTGAAGGAAGGTCACCTCTTTCCTTTTTTATTTTTTTTAATTGTACTAGTTTATTTACAAAATTTGAATTCATTGTTTTTCAAACCAGTCTTTCCTTTTTTTTTTAAACCTTTTTCATTTTTAAAAATCATTTACATTCTTTTAAGCAACATGGTGGTGTAGAATCACCTATGACATGGCAATTGCTTTTTCCTCATGATGTGCGGTGGCTATCTTTTCACTCATGTAAGCCTATGTCAGCCCACTTCTGTGTTTGTAACATGATGATTCACGTTTTGTATCATTTAGTTAACCCTTCTTTAATAGATGCACATTTAGTTTGTTTTCATCATTATAAGTAGCCCCACAGCAAACATAAATTTTTAAAAAACAGAAGCAGAAATTACGTTTTTTGTGGAAGTTTACCAAGCAAAGTAGGACCAATTTGACAATTTCGGTATGAATTATTGAGTCATATTAGTTACAGTTTTCATGTGTCAACCTTCCCTCTGTGTCCTGGTTTTTCCATTTCCAGTGCTCCAATGTTCCGGGCCTCTTAGGTTCTTAGCTTTACTTTCGGGTAGTTTTTGTCACATATGTCGTTCTGTGTCTTCGAGTCAAGACCGACTTGTAACCGATCCTCCAGTGGCTTTTCAGAGGTTGCAGATCGCAGGAGAGGAGGCTGCCCTGTCTTTCTTCCACATTTTGGTCTGATAGAAAAAGATTTTTTTATATGCTTGCACTAAAGGATAATAGTCTTTATTTTGTATGCCAGTGTATTGTTTCTCCTAAAAGATCCCTGAGATGGTTTCTAGTTTCGATTGGAGGTTTAAAGACTATCTCAGAACAGTAGTTCCTAGGAGTCTTCTAGCCTCACCTGGTTCAGTAAACTTGAACTTTTGAAGAATTTGAGTTCCCTCCTTTGTTTTTTTCCTTCTTCCTCAGATACCATCTGTGGTGTTCCTGAGCAGTCTATAGTGGTAACTAGGCTCCATCTAGTGTGGATAACTTACAAATATATGTACACCTATGTCTGATGAAAGAATAGAAGTCTTCCTATGATCTAGCTGTTTCTTTACCCTTATATGTTCTTAATTCACATTTTGTGTATTGGTATTTTTCCTACTTTTTTTTCTTGATAGCAAATACTTTACTGAGTCACAGATTGTGTAATTAGTAGGTTTTTTTTCCAGTTCACTTCAGCACATGCTCATCTTGCTCATCAAGTTGTAGGTATCACAGGATTAAAAATAGTTTAGCCATCTGCTAACTGACCAAATAATTTTAGTCTTGTGAAAGGGAGTGGTGAGAGAGAGAGGACCAGGGTCTAGGTACAGTGTCAGAATAAGGCTCATTGTAGAAACCACCTTGTGACCTCTTAATACTGAAACTCAACAGTCAGTTCAAAATTAGGAAGAGATTTGATGGAGGTTAAGCATAGGAGAGTCCAGACATTCGGGGATTTCCCAGAATAGGATGCTAGAAGAATTTCTTAAACATTTTAATATTTCACAAAATGTTTTTATGAAGACATAAATTCTGTGAAGCTTTATCATAATGTATACATGTTCTATGTGTGTGTATATATATATTTCTAATTAATTAAGAGTTTTCTGCTTCTTTGTTAGGAACATCAGTAGACTCCCACTCAATGAGAAATGATTCTGAAATTGTGCCAAAAGTTGCTAAAATGACTGTATCTGGAAAGAAGCAAACTATGGGATTTGAAGTGCCTGGGTAAGACTTTATAGCTCTAATGTTTTGAAACCAATATTTTCTTTGGCTAGGTTGGGAGAGAATTTGTAAAATTTTTTTTCTCATTTATTCATTGTTGCACATTTCCCTCCCTGTCCCCCCACCCCCAGTTTGCTTTTCTCTTTGAAAAGAAAACAAAATTTCTTTCATTGTTATACAGTTCCCCATCCCTCCCTAAGTACATAGTTCACTTTACTATGCATTTCTTTTTCTGGAGTTTGTCATGAAAATAATAATACCCAATCATATATTCCTTTTAAATAGTTCTCTCCCTCATATGTTTCAATGCAGTATATATTAGCCCCTCTTTTCTTAGGTTGCCCCCAACCCCGATGTCAGTCCCTTTTTATAACAGTGTCACTATGCAGTATTTGTCCTTTTGTGACTGAGATATTTCACTTAGCATAATGTTCTCCAGGGTCACCCATTTTGTATAATATTTCACAAGTTCCTTAGTTTTCAATGCAGTGTAGTATTCCATTGTGTGACTATACCACAGCTTCTCTATCCATTCATTTGTTGATGGGCACTTGGGTTGTTTCCAACTCTTTGCTATTGTGAACAAAGCAGCAGTAAACATGGATGTGCAAACTTACTTGTAAGTACAGAATGCAGAGGAATGGGAAATTAGAAAGCTGATTCCAATTTTAGATATGTTTATCACGTAGGTAGTTCGTTGTCAGTTTCTGCACATGGATTAAAAAAACAAAACGTTGTCAGAAAACCTCCTTTCATGACTAAATATTTGTACCAGCAGGTGGTATAAGTAAACAATTTGTAGTTACTTATGAGTGATTGGTGGAACTACCACTTTTGGGATTAGTTGTATTTTTGTGGTTAATAATTTAAGTGGTATCTTCAGACTTTTTGTATTGAATAAAATGGAATGATATACCTAGAATTTCATACATCTATTGAAAAAGTATAATAAACTAGAAATCATTAGTTTTTCTTTCTGCTTTCTTACTGAAATGTCTATAAAAGAGGTTCTTGTAACACTTCCTTATCTAAATTGGTAGAAATGCTGTATGTCTTGGTTAGGGAGAGTTTTAATGATCACCTAGCTCAGTTTTTGGAGCAGTGGTAACATGCGCAGCCAGGAATTGTGCTGCTCATCCAAAGACCATGCTGCATCAGCAGTTCAAATCCGTCAGTGGTTCTGAGGGAGAAAGAAGGAAAGTCTTCTCCCACGCAGTTTGCAGCCTCTGAGACACAGTGGAAGTTTAGCCACTGCCAGGTCCCAACTAGATGGCGAGGAGTTTGAGTTTTCTGTGACTGGTTAGGGGTTTTTTTAAGATCAGGTTTTGGATTTTATGGAAAGAAGACTTTATTTAGTAAATTTCAAATTCATTTTGGAAGGAAAGAGTTCTCCACACCTTAGAACATACTAGTTGTTTTATATATATTCATGGGATTATTGAAACCTGTCTTGAATAACTCTAGTTCACTATAATAATTTTGAATCATGATCTAGTCATTAAAAAAATTAATGTATGTCTTTCTCTGCCTGAATTGAAATTGGGTTGTCAGAACGGTAGATGAATTTTTTTTTAATCCTTAGTTTTGTTTTTTTTTAATTTTATTAATTTTAATGAACATTTACAGAGATTTTGGATTTCCATTCGTTCAGTGTTGCGCTTTTCTCCATGCCCAGCCCACGTCCCCAGGTCGCTCCTCTCTTTGTAAAGCAAAAGAAAAATTCCTTCTTTGGTATACAATCCCGCCCGCACCCGTCCCACTGTCCCAGTACACTCCACTATGCAACCTTAATTCTGGACTCTTGTGATAACCATAATACCCTATCATATATCCCTTTTAAACTGTTTTCTCCCTCATCTGTTTCAATGCAGTATTTAATCCTTAGTTTTAAGTACCATTTTATCCTCTGGTGGGATTAAATAGATAGAAATTGAGAGAAATAGATAAATATACAAAATATCTAAGTCTATATTTTAAGCATTTTATAATATTATTGTAGAAGTTTAAGAGGCGTTATTAAACAGCATGTAAATAAGTCCAAAGTGATGCATTTTTTAGAATAAATGCAGACTCCTATGTAAATGATTATAAAAATAATGACTAATGAAGGGTCAGGCAATACTAATAAATAGTAATTACTGATAAATAAATCCAAATCTGCATCTTAGAAGCACAGTGCAAACCTTTTTAAATTTTATTAATCTGCATAGTTTAAAAGGACAAGAACAATTTCATCCTTACGTATTCTTCTCCAAGAGTAGTCATTCCAGTATTTATTGGCCAGGGAAATATATTTTATTTTAAAAATAATAGAGATCATTTCAATGCAGAACAACAGTTTATATGTCAGTATGTGACCTTTTGGGAGAAGTCATGTCAACTTTAAACTGTAAAAGATTTACGGATTCAGCAAACTACATTCACTACAATACCCTACATTCACTCTCCTCTCTCTCTCTCTCATTGCTTTTTTTGCCCAAAGTACGTGAAATGATGTTTCATCAGCATTGCCTCTTTTTTCCTTATGAAGTGCCTCAGAGTGGACCCTCCAACCTTAATAGCTACGCTCACTAATCACGCAGGGATTCTTTTTGTTCAGGATCACTCACTCACTCACTCACTTATTCTCATTGCTGTTGAGTCAGAACCAACTCATAGCTGACCCTCCAGAGGATCTTCTGAGGCTGTAAATTGCACAGGAGGAGATGGCCCATCTTTTTCCTGAAGAGCCTCTCATAGGTTCAAGCTGCCAAAATGACAGGACGCCTTTAGATTAGCACCTTGGGATTAGTCCCCATGCACTGTGACACCAGAGCTCCCTATTCCTAGAGAAGTATTAAAAATAACTCCCTCAAAATACCTCCCTTGAAAATTCATGTTAAAAAAAAAGTGGATAGACTGTTGCATAAAAAACAAACATTCTGCATTTAACCACTTAAATCTATATTATCAGCTTCTAGCTATCATTTTTATGATTCAAGAAGAATACCTAATATGCTGGTTTTGTGAAGAAACATCTTCACTTCTGGAAACATTTTTTGCTTTGTAATTGGATTTTTTTAAAAAAAAACTTTGATTTACTTAAATGAGAATATTATCATAAAAATGAGTCCTTTACCTTACTGAATTAAAAGTCATAAAGTCAGGCCCCCGTTTTGTGAAGCACTTAGAATGCTGAGTAGTCCATCTGTGGACCACCTGGGTTGGTGGGTGAGTGAGAACCATCCAGGGATCCATCCTGTGAATCTCAGCAGATCGGTGTTTACCTGGCTCTTCATATTGAATTTAGCAGAAACGATCTATTGAGGAAAGTAGCCTGTAGCCCAAACCAGACGATATCTGTGTTCTGCCAGATTGGATCAGAACCTATGGAATCATTCTGAAATAGGACTTTTCTTATAATCTGCTATTTCTCTTTCACTCCCAGAAAAGCAGCTATTTTGGCTGTGGTAGTGTTTGCAAATTATAGTATAAATTTGATTTTATTTAATTAGCCTGTTGGAATTCCTTTTTTTTTTTTAATTTTAATAAAAGTTTATAAAGAACTTGGATTTCCCTTCATTCATTGTTGTACATTTTCCTCTGTCCCCCCTCCCCCCAGTTTACTTTTTTCCTTTGGAAAAAAAGTTCTCTCATTGTTATACAGTCCGTCCTTCCCCACCCCAACCACTTTACTATGCACCTCTTATTCTGGACTCCTGTCATGCCAATAATACCTAATCATATATTCCTTTTATACAGTTCTCTCCCTTGTCTGTTTCAACACTGTGTACATTATCCAACACCCATATCAGTCCTTTAAAAGAATGGGATCTTTTCCACATGGTATCTCCTATCCCCAATAATTCAAGAAGGAGCTAATGTGTTGATGCTGTTTTTAAAAATTAGTATCTAAATTTACTAATAGAAATTTATAAAAATGGTCCTGGCCATATTTTTAATTAAGTTGCAAATCGACTGGTGTGACTCTTTCCTGAAGCATAGGATGACAAGGTAGTATTGAGTATATTAAAATGACCATAGAGGGAAATTTAAAAAGGTTTTTTGGTTATGGTGGGTGAGAAGAAACTAGACTTCTTTTCGTTGCATGTTTCCATTGTGTTGCAATTCTAAGTGATTGTTAGAAAATTTTTGTGTGTATGTAGTTCTTTGCCAGCTCCACAGTCAATCTAATTGACTTTATTCTTAATAACTTGCAATTTAAAAATCTGTTTATTGGTGTCTGTTGAACGAATATCGTATGGTGGTCTGGCAGTATAGGTCTCCACAGGGTAGCACTTGTACTGAATTCTATGTAGAGTAAGAGAATTAAGATATGAGATGAGTGTCAAGAGGATAATAAAACTAAGTTGTCATAATTCTAGCTTAGTTCTCTGAGCCCCTGTTTAGATCTAGATAGTTAGCTTTTACAAGGAGTGCTAGATAATTTTCTGGTTTTTATACTTTTCAACATCCAGTGCCTCGTATTTTTTGGCAGCCATTATTTGTGGACTTAAAAACTTTTGAAAATACTAAGAAATACATTTACAGTTATTGTCTTTCAGAATAGTGTTTGTACACAAAAGAATGAAATCGTCTACGTTTTCCCTGTTGGAATGAGTTAGGTAAGGGGGGAAAACCAATTATTAAAAAGAATAATTTATTTCTAGGAACACATTTGGTGCCAGTTTTCACAAAATTATCTTCTTCATGCCATCTGTTTATGATAGAATTAAATAGCCAAGGGATTAGACTTTGAATTTCAGTTATTTGACAGGATATTTTCTCCTTATCTTCATTTTTGGTAGACTGTTTTTCTCCTGGGATCTTCCATGCCTGTATTCATGTGGTTTGGGTGTAGTTCCTTATCATTTCCACCTTAACAGACATTGGCCACTTATCAGGAATCACTTTTGGCTGGGAGAGTGAAGGACTTTGGACTGTAAAAGGAACTTCTTTGCCATTTTAACACTTTTGAGATGTTTGAAACATTTCCCCCATCTCTACTTTCTGTAGACTAACTGTGGAAGAAAATGGTCATAATTTCCACATACCTCAAAAAGGACCTTCCACTGAAGATACCACCACTGCTGCTTCTGATGTCCTCGAGACTGTTTCTAAGTCACCTCTTCCATCCCACATCATGCAGGCAGCCGAAGAGCAGAGTTCAGCACCAACACCAGTGAAAAGGTCTAGCAAGCTGAGACAGCAGTTAGATGTGAAGGCAGAACTGGAGAATCGGCAAGGGGGGAAGCAGCTCCTCAACTTAGTGGTCATTGGTAATGCGCTTTGTTGTTTGGGATTGTCGGGCAGCTCTGGCAAGAAGGAAACTCGCCTTGTTCGACAGAGTTTCTGTCTGGCTGTAATGGTCATAATAAACCAAAGAGGCATTGCTCATAACCCTTCTAGCCTTCCATCCCTTCCTGATCTCCTTGGAGTGAAATACTGCTGAGGCTGAGTTGCTGAGGTCTTTAGACGTGGCTGTGGCACTTTCACTCTGTAATGTGAAAAGACATGTCTTGTTAATTTAAAAAAAAAAAAAAGGCAGGCGAATTTTTATCCTCTCCAAAGAGACATGGTCTTTTATCTCCATTTCACTTTCTTGTAAATGGTCTCTATTACTCTGAATACTGGAATTGAGTTAAATATTCATGCAATGCCTCAATATCAAGAACATCTGAAAAATGTACCTAGTATTAATCCTGAATCAATTTTCCTTAGGTCATGTTGATGCTGGGAAAAGTACCCTGATGGGCCATATGCTTTATCTTCTGGGTAATGTAAACAAAAGAACTATGCATAAGTATGAACAGGAGTCTAAAAAGGCTGGCAAAGCTTCGTTTGCGTATGCGTGGGTCTTGGATGAGACTGGCGAAGAAAGGGAAAGGTAGTCACTATATTTCAAAATTTTCAGTTTGAAATGATATATTTAAAAATAAATATGTATTAATAGTATGTGTTGAATAAAACAAAAAATAGTATGTATTGAATAAAACATGTATAAAACATCACAAAATATTTGGGGGATAATATTTTTAGGAAAAACTGAATTATAAAAAACTCTTGACATTTTTGCTATAATATTTATATATGTGTTTAATTTTCAAAATTCCATGAGAATAGCATGAAAGAATTTTTTTTAAGCACTACACTTACAGAAAATATCAGTAAAGCCTAATTTTTTGAAAACATGTCGATTGTTCCTAGTCTAAGTATATACCGCATTATATTGAATTTTAAATTATTATTGTGATTTTGTTGTTAAGTGCAGCTGAGTTGGAACTGACCCATAACTGACCCTCCAGTGGGCTTTCAGAGGCAGTTAGTTAATTGCACAGGAAGAGATTGCCCATCCTTCTCCTGCAGAGCACATGGTGGATTCAAACCATGAAGCTTTGGGATTACAACACAGTTTCTTATCACTCAGCCACCAAAGCTCCCTAATATTATGGGGGGTTGTTGTTGTTGTTGTTATTAGGATTCTTAATTTCATTACAGGTTATTAAAAAAAGGTAACTCTTTGTGGTACACACCCATCTGACTAAAATAAAAATCATCAAGAAATTCAGATTATTTTGGTTTAAGATTTTTTTACTTTGTATTTTGTTTTAATGAGACAGAATTCATTCACAAGTAATTAACCTTTCCACGTAATTGTAGCTGTTCTTTTATCTGTTACTGTGTTCAGTGCTGTCATGAGGATTCTAGCAGGTTAATATAGTTACTTAGATACTTCTGATCAATAAGAAGTTTCTTTTAAAATCCTTTTGAGTGTGGGGCTGTGTACACATGTATAATGTTAGTGTTGTTAGGCATGGGGGGCACTGTATCTTTGTAAGAAGAGGATACTTTATAAACCGAAAGAAGTGATAGATTTTCACCTCTGTCAAAATACAAACTCTAAGGTTTTGTGAAAATTGTCCTAAATCAACAAAGAGATTAAGTAGTGTTTCCTGATGTGTACATTCTGTATACAGAAAATATACTTAGATTTCATATCTTTTTATGTGTTTTCCTTTCCTACAGTTGTAGTCTATAATATATAGAGTAATTCTCAGTAAAGCAGGTCATATTATTAACTCCTGATAAATAGGAATTTATATTATAATTTTTGTTTATTCTCTTGTAGATGTTAGCTCTTTTTTATAATTTTTTTTTATATCCAAACTTATCTTTTCAAAAAAGTAAAGAAGTTTGATACTTGCCATTTTTTTAAAAACAGTGGAATTGTGTAGATCGGTATTAATGACCTGAATAATTTTCACATACAGTTTTATTAGCAATTTTTAAAAGTATATTGCTTTTTCTTTTTTCATTGCATCATTTAGTAGTTGGTAAAAAAATATTTGAACCAATAAATTGGCATGATTTGTGTAAATTTACTTATGTTATTCAAGCTGACAAGTGAGATAACAGTCTGTCCAGTACCTGGGTTGATCAGTCATTTTAGTTTTACTTAATAGTGCATCAACTTGTTGCTTATGTGGTCTGCTCAGTATAATGTATTTTCTAGAACATTTCTTTATTCTGTGGATAGTAAAACATCCAGATACATACTAGAAATTTTAATTAATCATAAATCGTGCATAAAATTAAAAAATATGATTAGCATTGCTTAGCCACACACAGTGTTACTTCTATATCCTCTGTGCTACAAATGTTGAGGAATGAAAATTAGTAAAGTTCTATTATTATATCCTCATTGTTGTGTGCTATCTAGTTGGAACTGACTCATAGCTGACCCTCCAGCAGGTTTTTAGAGGCAGTAGACTGCATGGGAGGAGATTGCCCCTCCTTCTCCCATGGAGCTGCTCCTGCCCTCATGGTCCAGATTTTAGGACTGCAGCACAGCTTCTTCCTACTCGGCCACAGAGCTCTGGAATGATGGACTCAGACTAAAACTGAGTCAGGAGAATGAATACAGTTTAACTTGTAGATCCTTACTCTGTCAATGCATATAGACCCTGAATTATCTGTGGAATATTGAGAGAACTAAATATACTTTGACAAACTCAGTGTCCTTTTGTTTCAGATTGAACTAGAAAGGCTTAATTAAGTAGACCCACAGAGACGAATGTCTAATTTATCAGTGTGATTGAGATTTGATAAAAAAGACTTCTTGATTACTTTGGACTACTCTAACATAGTAGCATGAATGATTACCTAGTTTATTGTCCACCTGATTTCCCCTTCGAAGTTCTTGAGCTCTGGAATGACTCCATCATTTTTTAGATCCTGCCAGGACTTTCTCACCTCAGTCTAAAACCTTCTGGCTGCAAAAAGGCACTGAATGGGTCTCTGGGAGGATAAACTGGAGCGTGAAGCAAATTACTATTTACCTTTCAGGTTTTTCCATTGACTGTCTCTTTTGACACCTCCTTTATATGAAAAAAAAAAAAAAAGTAGGGAATTAGACATTTACTTTGTTTCCATAACTGGTGAACCAAAATTATGTAAGATGAGGAAAACTACCGCCTGATAAATATTCCTTATTCCGTCATTTTCACCTGCAATGTTTATTTTTCATATTTCTTTAAAAAATATGTGTGTATGTACATACTACTTATTTTGAAGAAGACAAGAATAAGTTGGGGTTTTTTTCCCTGTGAGAGAAAGTTTTATTAAAAAAAAAAGAAGTTTTAAGTTTTTAAATTAAACTCTCGTATCCACAACATTAATTTAAAACTACAGGTTTAATTCTAGTACAACAGAAATAAATAGCTTTATTATCCAAAATAATAGTCAAGGCAACAAGATTCCCATTGTTATCTTAAGAATTTAGACTGTCATTTAGTGTACTACTACATAATCTATTATGCTTACTATAAAGTCAATTCTAACCACTTCATGTTCTGTTTAAGGGGAGTAACAATGGATGTTGGTATGACAAAGTTTGAGACCAAAACCAAAGTTATCACATTAATGGATGCTCCAGGCCATAAGGATTTCATTCCAAATATGATTACAGGTGCAGCCCAGGTACTTATATCAAGTATATTGATTTTACATAAGCTTTCTGCTGAGTTTATAATTCTACGGTTTAAGCTTAAATTACAAAGCTTAGAAAAAGTTTTCTTTCTAATCCTTTTATCTGTGTTTTATAAAACCTTTTGTAATTTATTATAAAGATACCAAATTATAAAGTTAAGTTATGAAGGAATGCATATGTTTGCATTTAGGAGGTATATAGGAACATTTGACTATGAGAAGGATGTATCAACAGTGCAGGAGAAGATTACCCGGGATGGAGGTGGATTGACTCAGTGACTGGAGAAATGAGATTAGGTCTGTCGGAGATGATGAGATTGGCTCAGGATAGGGCAGGTTTCAGAGCTAATATACATAGGGTCACAATGTGTGTCAGGCAAGTCATAGTTTTGTACTGTTAAGAATAAAATACTTGATAATACTTATTGTATGAAGTTTCATTTTCAATATAGTGTAAATTATGATAATGTATGTGAAATTTTGAAGCTCTGTCTGACATTCTTTGGGCATGTGGCAAAAAGGGATCAATTGTTGGAGAAGGACATCATACTTGGGAGGATGGAGGGACAGCACAGGAGAGGAAGACCCTCATTGAGATGGATTGACTCCGGTGACTGGAGTAATAAAGATGGGTCAGAGATTGTAAAGTTGGTTCAGGGTAGAGTAGGATTCAGAGCTGTTGTACATAAGGTCTCTATGAGTCGCAAGTGACTCAGTGACCCCTAACAAATGTGAAAATTTTAAACCGGACAACACAGATATATCTTTCTGGAAGCAATGAAAGGAAAGGTATTTGGACTCTGTTCTGTCCAAAAGCCAAAACGTGGAATGGAGCGGAGTAGAGAGAAGCCCAGCTGAGAATGACTGTCATGGAAGAGTTTGACTAGCTGAAGTTGGGGAATACCAAATTTATATCCCCGATTCTACAAGTGTAGAGTTTTCTGAGATCCAGGTATGTGTAGAAGGCAAACACTATAGAAGGAAGATGGCTTCAGGATAGAATGCTCCTTAAAGAAAAGTCCCAGCAATATATTGGCAAAAAATAACTGATGACAATGAAAAGGAAGGAGCAGCTGGGGCCACATTTCCAAAGGATATATCCAGAGATGAAAAGGGTTTAAATAAAGAATGATCTGCACAAACATATGGTAGAAAACTATAAACTAGTTTCAGTGAGCCTAAAAAAGGAAATGGCCCAAGGCCTTTTAATTTATAGTATGTGTGTCTGATATGTATACATAATCTTCTTTTTTTTTTTTTTCTTCTTGTGGCATATGTTTTTTAGTAGCTCCCCTGAATGGAGGCCGCTCTGAATCACAATACAAGATTATAGAGTTAGTTGTTGTAATGTGGAGTTGGAACTGACCCATAGCTGACACTGCAGGTTTTCAGAGGCAGTTAATTGCATGAGAGGAAACTGATTGTCCATCCTTCTGCCACGGAGCAGCTGGTGGATTTGAACCATGAGCCTTTGAGAGTGCAGTGCAGTAGCAGGCAACTCAGTGGCTCACAACAATGTGTGTGTTAAGAGAGAGAGACAAAGATGATATATCAGAGGGAAAAATATCTTTTTTAATTGTCAAAATGACCAATAACGGTTAGGAAACTTAAACAAGGTTCTCAATGGTTCAGGGGCCTTATAGATGATGATTATGCTATATTTTGAAAATTTACTTTCATCATTTTTCCTCATTTTAGATTATTATTTATAATACGAAATATAATCTGTATAGATCTTTAAATAGTTCTCTGAAATAAGTTCCTAGAGGGGAAATTGATGGGAGGTAAAATACACACATAATTTTAAGGGTCTTGATAATCCCTTCCAGACTACACAGACTAGGAGGAAAGTTTTTTTAGGAGCAGATTGCCAGACCCTTCTTCCTAGTCTGCGTAGTCTAGAAGCTTTGCTGATGCCGGTGCACCGTGAATTGTTGTGGTTGTTGATTGTCTTTGAATCATAGTGACCCTATGTACAAAAGACCTGAAGCCTTTCTATAACTATCATTATTTCTCCAAGTTAATAGTTTCCAGAGCCATGTTGTTTAGGAAGTGGATGCCACTCCTGCTTTCAGTGAATATCCTTACTAATATGTGAAATGCCCTTCGGGCTTCCCAGCAATGTACAAGTCACCATAGTATGAGAAACTGATGGAGGAGAAGCAGTGATTATCCTGTTATTGTTATGTGCCTTTAAGTTGGCTGTGACGTATAGTGACCTTATGTACAGCAGCTTCGAAGCCTGCACTATCCTGAGCCAGTCTCACTGACTGACACACCTACCCCCATGGCCCCAGTTATTGTGTCAGTCCATCTCATCTGGGGTCGTCCTCGTCTCTGCTGTTCTCCATCCTTCCAAACATGATAGCCTTTCTCTAAGACTGGTGAGTATCTTAGTACTACTTAAATTTAATCCATCTGTGACATTTTCTTACTTGTTTTTGTTATCTGGTGTCAGGTTTTTTAGGGTCTTTTCTTAAAAATCTCTGACCAATACAACTAATTGAATAATCCTTCCTTTAAATGAAAAGTCTGTGGCATTATTTCTAAATTAGATACTTTTTTCCCTTTAGGCAGATGTAGCAGTGTTAGTTGTGGATGCCAGCACGGGAGAATTTGAAGCTGGATTTGAGACTGGAGGACAAACTCGAGAACATGGCCTCTTAGTCCGTTCTCTGGGGGTAACACAGCTGGCAGTTGCAGTCAATAAGATGGATCAGGTACTTAAAGACTTAACGAGAATTCTTTTCAGTTGCTAATTAAAATTTTACTCTACCCATATAGATTGTTAATTGCCATATTTAAAAAAAAAATCATTCATGATCCTGAAATTAAATACTAGTACTTGTAAATCAAGAAGATAACTTTTCGTTGTCAGAATGAACACAGAAAACATTAAAATTCTTTTTAGTTACAGAATGATACATACATAAACTAGAACTTACCTACATTTACTTCCCAATTCTACCTCAAAAATGAATAAACTTTTTTTTTAGGTGAAAAGGTAGTGTATTTTAATACAAAAATCACTATATGGAAATGCACACCAAAAAAGGGTGACCACATTGAAAAGTGATTTAAAAAAAAATTAAAAAAATTTCCAGTACAACTAACAGGAAACTCGAGCTAGACTGAACTCGAGCTAGATGAATAAACTTTTAACATTTTATTTTATATATCCATATATATCCAGTTTATTTTATTTCTTTTTATAATCTGTTTTATTATGTGCTTTCTAAAACTGGCAATATTTTTGTGATGTGTCTAAGCAATAGTTTATTCAGTCCCCACTTTTGAACATTTCATGTATGTGTGTTGAAATGACTTATTTAATGGAGATTTCTGACTTTATTGAACACCATAAAAATGCCTTTCAGAAAATTTCTAGTTTTTGTTCTTGGCAGATAAGATGAATTCACTTTCTCAACCTCTATAAAACTGTTCTAATTTTTAAAAAATATTTTCTAATTTGACATTAAAAATATTAATTCACTGTTCTATAAATATTAAAACATTTAGTATATGCATATATTTATTAACCATTTGTATTTCTTTTATGGGAATTGTTAATATAAATAATTTACATTATTTATATAACTAATTTATATTATTTATGTAATAACTTACGTTATATAATGAAACAATAAAGGTTCCTTTTTTAAACTTTAAAAAATCACTTTGTAGATGTACTTTACTAAATATATTATTTCATAATCATTTTCCTAATTTGTTATGACTTAATTTTTTTGTAGATTAATTTTCAAATACATTAAACTTTCCAAATATTTCCTTTAAATAAAGTAAAACACTTAGACATTTTCTTACCCAATAATTAAATGTTCACTTATTATATTACTACTTCTGTTTTTTGTTGGGTTTTTGTGGGGGTTTTTTGTTTTGTTTTGTTTTTTTTTTAGTTTTCCCCAGCACTTTAGTATGAACTCTTTCTTGCCTAAAGTACTATTTAAATGATTCTTTGGCAAATACCCTCATTAGATTTACTATTTAGATTCTAGTAGTGATAATTAGGTCCACTTGCTTGATTACTTATTTGCTTTCTGTCAACTCATCTTACTTTGGGGATGCCATTCACTCTGAACTGCTGGCATTAGTATCCTTCCCATCTAGTATTGCAGCATACATGTTACTATTTTATTTCTTTTACATAAATATTTTCAGTCTCATTTTTGAGAAGGTAGTATTAATGGCTTTATTTTATTCCAGTGGTAGATCCAAGAAAAAAATTCGTATTTACCTTTTCACCACAAACTTGAAATCACTTTTATTATACAAAAAAAATTTCTGTGTATGTTGTCTGTTTTCAGGTGTTTCAAGTATAAGAAAATGTACTGCTGAGTCACATTATTAGTAAGATCTGATTCTAGGATTTTTAATTTTAATAAAAATCTGTTTTGTACTTTTAGTTTTGATGTGTCCAAGCAGTAGTTTATTCAGTCCCCACTTTTGAGCATTTCTAGTTATCCATTTGAGACATTTAAATTTTATATATAGGCTATGTTGAAGCATATTTTAAAAATTAGTTTGGGTCTTTATTAGGTTAATTGGCAACAAGAAAGATTTCAAGAAATTACTGGAAAACTTGGACATTTTCTTAAGCAAGCAGGTTTTAAGGTAAGCCAATTTCTGATTTATGTGGTTATTATTCTTTCCTAAGTCTCATTTATCAGAGAAAGAATATAAATTAATATCCTAATACTCTTATAAAACATTTTCGTTTCACCCTGCTTTCATGTGTATATTATTTTATTTGGATGACCTTACCTTAAAAAAAGACAAATACTTTATAAATTAGCTTGTGTTTAATATAAGTAAAAGACACTGCAGCCTCCAATATGGACTGAGGGTCAATGTCAAGAAGACAAAGATTCTCACCACTGGACCAATTAGCAGCATCAGGATGGATGGTGAAGAGATTGAGATTGTACACAGCTTTAGTTTGCTTGGTTCTACAGTCAGCAGTCTTAGCACCAGCAGCCAGGAAATTAAAAGGCACATTGCCATGGGAAAGTCTGCTGTTAGGGACCTCTCCAAAGTACTGAAGAGCAATGGTGTCTCTCTGGAGACTAAGATGTGCCTGATACAGGCCATGGTCTTCGCAATCACTTGTTATGCATCAAAGAGTTGGACAATGACCAAGGAGGATAGAAGGAGATTCGATGCCTTTGAGCTGTGGTGCCGGAGAAGAGTATTGAGAATACCATGGACTGCTAGGAAAACAAACAGATTTGTTCTGGAAAGGGTTAAACCAGGTGGCTCCTTGGAGGCAAGGATTCTGAGGCTCCGTCTAACATACTTTGGACATGTTGTGAGGAGAGACCGGTCCTTGGAGAAGGACATCATGCTTGGGAGGGTGGAGGGATAGCGCAGGAGGGTAAGGCCCTCTATGAGGTGGATTGATTCAGTGACTGGGATAATCAGGATGGGAGTGTCAGAGACAGTGCGATTGGCACAGGACAGAGCAGAGTTTAGGGCTGTTGTACAAAGGGTCACTGTGAGTCGCAAGCAACTTGACGGCACATAACAACAACAACAACATGTATTGAATTCTGTGGTGTATGTTTGGAGAAATTAAAGAGGAAATTACATCTGGTGGAGTGAAATTTTCCCAGCAAAAATGTGAAATTACTTGGATGTTTTCAACTGAATTTGTAAATGTTTAATGAAATCAAATCTGAAAATTAACTGCATCAGATAACTTTAGGACAATAGTTTATTGTTTTTATCACTTTTTTAAAAGTACATCAGTATTGTTATTGACAGACTTGACATAGTTAATAGTAGAGATGAATGTTTTAGCTGTTTTTAACAGTTGTGTTATGTTTCATACATTCAATTTTGATAGGAAGGTGATGTAGCATTTGTACCTACAAGTGGTCTCAGTGGTGAAAATCTAATCACAAGATCTCAATCAGGTGAACTCATGAAATGGTACAAAGGATTATGCCTATTAGAACAAATTGGTAAGTAGTATTGTACTAATTTAACACAATATAAACTTGATATAAATTTCTATTTAGCGTTATTTATGGGAAATAGTAATATGTATGAGAAGGTATAAGACTTATGATCAGAGTAGCTGAGTTAATAGCTTTGAAATCTAATGTTCTCTAACCTATGTAATATTCAGTGTTAATTCATTTATTTTATGAGTCTGTGTTTCCTACCTGGTGGCGCCAGGCGCTTAGTGGATGATCAGAAGCCTAGCAGTTGGAATCTGAGAGAAGAGGCAGTAATTTTCTTTCAAGATTACAGCTTTAGAAAGTAGTTCTCTGCTGTCCTGTAGGGTCAGAGGAATGGAATGGACTATATGACTATAGGAATGGACTTTATGACGTACAGTTGTTTAAATTAAATAGGAAAACATTTCATAAATTACAGTATTGTATAAATAGCAATGGATTGGCTATTACTAAAAGACCTGCTGCCAGTTAAGTCAGTTCCAACTCATTGTGACCCTGCATCACAATGAGTTTTGAGGCTGTAAACTTTAACTGAAGGAGGCTGCCCTTTTTTCTCACTAATAATAGCTGGTGGATTCAAACTACTGATCTCTTTGGTTAGCAGTGTACATCTATAGCAGTTATACACTATACATCACCAGAGCTTCTTATATTTGCTATTAGTACTTATTTAAAAAAAAAATTCTTTTCTAAGAGAAATGAGAGTATATATAATCATGGTATGAATGAAAAGAAATTATGTTGTAAATTAAACTCTGCTTTTTCCCAGATTCCTTCAAGCCCCCTCAGCGATCTATTGACAAGCCATTTCGATTGTGTGTATCCGATGTTTTCAAAGGTAAGTGCCTCCTCTACAGTGCTTCTTCAGGATGGCTCCTTCCTTTGTGTTGCCTTCTTTCTTCTTATATTTATACTTTTCCTTCTCTGTTCTGTTGTTAGGATCACTGGTCCATTAATCGTAAAGTTTACAATTTTAGTCACCTACATTGCCCAGAAGGGAGGTCTGGTGGCTTATTGTTATTAAGCCCATCAAATCACCTGGCTGGCCCTATCCTGAGTCAATCTCAATAACTCCTACAAACCTTAACCCTGTTACCCCAGTTACAGTCCGTCTCACCCTGGGTCTTCTCCTGTGTTATTCCTCCACCCGTCCAAGCATGATACCTTTCTCCAAGGACTGGTCCCTCCTGGCCATGTGCCGAAAGTATATGAGATGGAGCTTTAAAATCCTTACCTCCAAGGAACAGTTTCAGTCTCTCCAAGACAGACCTGTTTGTTCCCTTGGAAATCTGTGGTATCTTCAAGACTCTTCCCCAGCACCTCAATTCAAAGGCATAGATGCTTCTTTTGTCATCCTTACTCATTGTCCAGCTCTCTGATGCAGAGCAAGTAATCGTGAAGACCATGCCTGCATCAGGAGCACCTTAGTCTCTAGACTTACATCATTACTTCTTAGCACTTTGGAGAGGTCCCTGACAGCAGAGTTTCCTAAAGCAGTTTGTCTTCCAAGTGTTGATTGTAGAGCTGAGCAAGCTGAAATTGTTAACCTCAATCTCTTCTCCGTCTATTTTGGTGCTGCCATTGGCCCACTGGGGACAATCTTTGTCTTCTTGATGTTGAGCTTTAATCTGAACAGGTTCAGATTTGTTGTTCAGCAAGCACACCTTAGTCCTCCAGCTGACACGATTGATTTTCAGGAATTTGGAGAGGTCCATGACTACAGACTTTCCCAAGTGCAGAACATCTCCTGATGTCATGTGTACGTTGGTATTCAGTAAATACTCAAGGGAAACTCTTATCTATTTCTGTAGTTTCTTTCCCCTCCCGTCTACTTCAGAATTTTCCCCAAATCAGAATCTCGACTCTACTTGGGATCTTTTTCTCTATGCTATATCCACACTGCCCTGCTGGATGGAAAACTGGATGATTACTGGGTTCACTTTTTTTAACAACCAAATCTTCAGGAATCATTGTTGTCTATTTAGGTTTCAAATAGTTCATCCAACTTTGTTGTTACTTAAACTAAGTGTATTTGATTCCTGTTACTTTCCCACTGTGGGCAATAGAAGGCTGTTTCTATTTATTACTCTGTCACTTTCTACTTTATGCATTTTGAAATCTTGATTTTAGCCGCATAAACATGTACTATTATTATCACTTCTTGTCTCTGTAGCCTCAAGTCTTTTCCCATTGTTTCTTAGGACCCAATCATGGAAATTGCAATTGGCTTTTGGTATAGACCACATTCAGCTATGACTGTGCATTTGTACCAGCAGTTTCCTGGCTAAGAAATGTCTTCCTTGTCCCCAGATAAAAGTTAAAATCCTGCACCTTCTTGCAGAATGCCCAGCTGAAATGTAGTCACCCTCACCCCCAAATAGTGGATTCACTGATGCATCATTTTCTGCTTCCGTTGCACATTTCAAGTAGCATTTGTTTCAGTCAAAGGTCATTGGTTTTGCATTTCTTCACTAGTGTACAATTCGTAAGCATCATTATCTTTTGATTTAGCACTCAGTAAATATTCAGTAAAGAAATGAATCCCTGCTTTTTTGTATTATTTTCATATACAAGAAAATTTTAATAAGAGTGTGATATACCATATTTTGACAATATCTTTAAATTAGGGAATAGTTATTGTTTGATGTCCATTGAGCTACAGATATGTAAGTACCATGGAAATAAGTACCACAGGCAGAATATTAATCATCAAATCTCTTTTGTCCTGTTTTACAGATCAAGGATCTGGATTTTGTGTAACTGGCAAAATTGAAGCTGGTTATGTCCAAATTGGTGACCGACTGCTTGCAATGCCTCCTAATGAAACTTGCACAGTAAAAGGTACTCCTCTGTCATGCTTTTTTATAAAACAAACCTTTAAGACAGCAGATTATTTTAGTTGTTTCGTTATTAAAGCTTACTGAAATTGTAACTGACTGTCAAAATGATACTGACTGTTGAAGATGAAAATGTAAAAACATTAAACGATTTTTTTTTCTGATGTGACTGTGTGTGGGTGTGTATGTACATATATTGTACATCCTAATTGTGATAATGTTTTCTTTTTCTGACATTGATTCAAGAAGTATGGTTAGGGTTTATTCAAATGTGGAGACACCTGACAGATACATTTAAATTGTTACTATACAGCAGAAAGTAAATCTAAAGCCTGCCTGACACCAAATAGTTACTGGCAAAGCACAGCTACTACCATCTGTTGTTTTACAGTGTGTATTTCAGAATGCTACAAATTAACAGCTTTGATCATGTTATTTTTTAAAAGTTACAATAATTGTGAGTATGCAAATAAGATGCAAATACAGAAAAATCTAGTATTGAAAAGAGGAATTGAACTACTTGCATAAAGTACCACTTTAACCACCATACTTACTTAACATACTTGCATAATTTTAAATGGCAGATTTTGAAATGTGCTTCTGCTCATAAACTTAACAAACATGTATGATTTCATAATGGCAGACTACAGTTCTGTTTATTAGTAGTTTAGCCTTTACACACATTAATTCTGATTAAAAGTTTGTGATTCATACTTCCTTTGGTCTCGCTTCGAACTTAATCCTTTGACATCAATATATGACTGATGTTATCCTATAGAGAAATATTTTTAATAGTTTTTAAGCTAAAGTATAGTCTATTGAGAATGTTAACTTATTTTTAAGTTTTAGTATTTTTCTTTCTATTATTTTGAATTTATAGTTTATATTCAGAGTTGTACCTAGGTTATACATTTAATTAGGTTGAGATTTTTAATTTACTTTTTTAAAATGCAGATCTCTTTTGATGTTATGAAATTAGTAAATACCTGTTTGTTTAACACCTTTTTTAGTGCAACCGAAAAAGACTCTTATTTGTAAGGCCAGCAGTTTGCTTTTGGTATTATAGGGAATAAAGAGCTATAATACTTTTAAAATACAAATTTTCTTATTAGAAAATTTAATTCGTATTTAAACATACAAATTTCCTTATTAGAAAAACTCCCCAGAAAGCTATTTTTTAATAGCCAGCTAAGATAAATTAAACTACAATCTGAAATTTATCAGATTTTATAGGTTGACTCCCTCATGTTTTCCAGAATCATTATTCTCAAACCTCTTAAAAAGTCTTCCTGAACTTCTTAAAGTCTCTAAACTGCCTCTGAAGAGGCTGCTGCAAGGCAAAAGTGAGAACTCTGAGAATGATATGGGTATATTATGGTTTACTAAAAACATCAATAAAGAACTCTTGTTCAGTTGATGGTCTGTACACTGTCTTCATAAAAAGTCTAGAAGCCAGTAGTAAGGGAATTTCTCCGGAACTTACCTGGATATTCAGAAAACATTCTTTTAAAAACTTTTTTGCATAGCTGCAAGTTACCCTTTGGAATTTTTCTGCAGGACTGCCTTCATGTAGTGTTAGATATATGGTATCTGGAATAATTTTAAAATGAAATTTAACCTACACTTTTTCCTTAAAAAAAATCTCTTCTTAGAAACAGTTACCGGTATGCAGTGTTCTTTCTGGAAAGAATTGTCTGTGAGCCAGGAAGAGTTAAGGGCCTGTTGAGGACAATCCTTAATACTGGCAGGAGTATTAATCCATGTGGGACACTTGGAGAGCACAAACTAGTTTAGATGGTTGTCTGCAAGCAAAGCTAAAGAGAATAAACTATTACTAGATGTCTTTTTCATTCTTATATTTAATATCATTATAAAGGAAGTTGAACTGAGTCATTATTACATGGATTCCATTAATATAAAGTGAAATATTTAAATAAGAGCTATTAAATGAACCTGGTGACACAGTAGATTAGCTCTTGGTGCCAACCATGCGGACGACGGTTTGAACCTGCCAGCTGCTCTGTGGGGGAAAGATGTGCAGCCTACTTTCATAAAAATGTGCAGCCCGGCAAACCCCATGGGGCGGCTCTGCTCTACCCTGGAGGGTCGCTGTGAGTCAGAATTGAATTGACAGCATTGGGTCTGGGTGGTTTTTAATGAATATATCACTTGAGTAAATGAGTATAAGAATCTTGATTAAAGAAGCAGAAAGCAGCCTTTTCTGGGCACACACAGTCACTTTGTGTGTGGAGGGCATGCTGGGAGGCTCAAGTCTAGAGGAAGTGTGCTTCCTCAGCACTCACAGTTACGCTTCTCACTCTCAGCCCATTCAGACCGAAAATGATGAGTAGAGACTCATGAAGCACAAAGTGGCAGCAACCCTCTCGGTTGTTATGGTTTGGTCGCGAGGTGTTTCACGGCGTGCTTTGGCTCTTACTCATTTCCAGGAATCACCCTGCACGATGAACCTGTCGATTGGGCGGCAGCAGGCGATCATGTCAGCCTTACACTGGTTGGGATGGATATCATCAAAATCAAGTGAGTGCCAAAAGGAGTTCAAGCAACCATTGATGTGCCTGTAGGTTCCCCCGCTGCGGAGACTTTGCAGTTCTCTTCCACATGAGAAAAATGTTAGGATTCATTTTTAATCTTACATAATCATATACAGACACCAGTGAAAGTTGAAAGATGGCAAGCAAAACCAAATCTATTTCAAACTGGATTTATGCAAGCCAGTGTTAGTACTTGTTTACCATTTGGTTAAGTGAAATCTGCAACATGGGTAAGATGGAAGGTTAAACCCAGAAGGAAGTATTTAGTAACAGTCTTTCATTTATTTACCCTATGGGCAAATGGTTTTTGAGATTTTCCTGTTGGATGTGAATTTGTTTCCCATGCGAGTCTTCTTCCCCCCATTTTGTCTTTTGCTACAGTGTTGGCTGTGTATTTTGTGGCCCCAGAGATCCCATTAAAGCCTGCACTCGTTTCAGAGCCCGCATTCTCATCTTTAATATTGAAATTCCTATCACTAAAGGATTTCCTGTAAGTTTCAAAATACTCTTGTTTTATAAAGTCAAAGCAACTTCTTCCTTGGAACTGTGCTTCTTTATAAGTAAAAATGCTATAATTATTTTCATATAATGTGACTGAGCAAGAAAAGATACAATTAGAATTGGGGAATTAGTACTATTGGGTGTTTGTTTATTATCCTGAGGGTTTTAGAAAAAAAAAAAAGAAAAAGAAAAGTGGGGTTGAGAAAGTAATTTCATAATCAATAGATTACCAAAAAGAGGGTAGTAAAATTTGCCCAGAGGAAATGGTTAATACTTTTCCTGTATGCTAAAGGCCATTTGACTAATATTGTGAGACTGACCTTCCTGTCTTTGTTTTGTTTAATAGTGTTTGAGTGTTACTTTTTAATTTATAAAAGGAAGAGAGTATCATGGAAAATCGTGGAAATATGCAAAAAGAAAATAAGGATGTTCTGTAAATGTAGAATGCATATTCCTGGTTAGATTTCAGTATATTTTTGCAGGCACATCCCTGGGTGTCTGTTGGTTTTTGTGTCGCCTGGGGCTTCTCTCAATAGGGGAAACTTGAATTGTGCAGGAGCAGTATAATCAGACCCCATCATTTGCCAGTGTCACCCTAGCATGCATATTTTACAGAAGAGGGAGATTTATACTGCAGTGTTACATAGCTAGGAAAGGCGGAACTTGGAGCAAGAATTCCTTGTGTAATTTTTAAATGCATAGTAACCATGCAAAATAGTTTGGTGCCTTGCTTTTGTTAGTTAATAGACAAACATTATCCAGTTAGATTTTCTTTTTGCCCAGTCAGCTTTTATACTACAGATGTTGCACAGCAGTTTTAAGAATTCATCTCAGTGGGATTAATTGCTCTTCCTTTGCAAATAGAAATGAGTCACTTTTACCGTGTGACATACCAGTAGAATAAACATAAAGATTGTAATGTTTGACTTAACCTTTTTTTGAGTTAGTGCTTTAGATTTTGGAGTAAGCTTACTTAGGTCTTTTAAATTAATTTTGTATTTAACATGCCTGTATTTGAAATTAAGCAGTAGCCCTGTGCTTTACATATCATTCATTCTAACTTTTTAATATAAAGTTAATCACAAAAATTATGTTTGTAAAATATATTTAAGTTGTTTTATGATCCATTTCTTCTACATGCTGAAAAAGTAGTAAAAGCTCTTCTCAAAAAAACTCCTGTTCCTGATTCTGTTTACAAATCTAATTTGTATTTAAGCTGTAATTGATATGATTGCTATCTAATTTCAGATAGTCAGATATTTGCCTTTGTACACAGTGTATCTCTCTAGGCATAAATAACACTGAAAGACACCCTTTTAGATACACTAACACATTTTTGACATAGTAGAGTAGCAATAATAACAGTGTTTTTCATACAAGTTTTTAATGACCTTCTGCCCCGAGGGCTGGCTTTCAGAAGATTTCAGAAATTTATGTATTGTTAGTCAAATAACTCCGAGTTAATTGCTAGTAAGCGGAACTCACTCATTCTTAGAAAGCAGTTTTTCCTAGCAGGGAGAAGGCGGAGAAGTTCTTTATAGTATATTTTTACTCATACTAGTGTAGATGTAGTGAGGTCAAGAAGTCAGTAGTTACTTTGAATAGTAATATTGTCTTCCTGTCTGTTGTAATTTCTTCAAAATAAACGTGAATTGAAAGTTTTCAGTGTAGCTTCATGAGATTTCACCTGAATATATTGATTCGCAAACTACAGAATAAATTTCTTTCAGTAAAGAAGGCTAATTTTCTCGTTCAGTACAATTACTCTTCTCAATGAGGAAAAAAAGGACTTTTCCTCCCCAAAGTCAACAAAGCTGCTTTAAGCGATGAAAATCTCATTCCTTTGAAAGTTAAGTTTTAAGTCAGCCTCAGTATACTCAAGTTTGCCTTAGTTTATATATCTTTGAGAAGAATAACAGAATAATCAACTGACTAAATGCATATTATCTAATATATATCTATATCAATGCATAGATACATTTGTACATGTAATAGATAATATCTTGTTGTTGTTGTTCTGTGCCATCAAGTCACTTGCGGCTCCTAGCGACCCTGTGTACAGCAGCCGTAAAGCCTATGTAATCATATTATCTACTATGTATGTTTATATAATGTCTATACATTGTAGTAGTCAATACATAGTGGTGGCCATAGTGAAGCTTTGCTGCAATCCTGAAGGCACATGGTTTGAGGCCACCAGCTGCCCTGCTGGAGAAGGATGGACAATCTTCTCCCGTGCGTTTAACTGCTTCTGTAAACCTGCTGGAGTTTTGAGTTGGTTCTGACTCAACGGGACACAGCAACAGACCACTACTCCGAAATCAGTCACGTTACTGTTTATGAAGCACAATTGAAGACAGGATAAATAAGGACTATAAATTGTTTCATTTAAGTACCCGGCTTATTTTATTACCAAAGTGATTTAGTAGATTTATGAAAATCTTTTAAGTTTTCAACTTTTAAGACTAGAATAATCCCAGATAAGGACCTGTCTTAATGCTCTCATTTATGAAAGAGGAATTAGAGACTCTCTTCAGGAATTGTGATCTGACTAGTAAACAGGTTAATATTTAGCATTTTTTGCTCTAAAATCTCCCCCCGCCAACTCATTACACCATTCTGTCCATGGCCTTGAATGATAGTTAAGTTCCAGCAGTCTTGATGGTGCAATGGCTCAGTGTTTGACTGCTAGTTGAAAAGTTATGGGACATAGAAAGAGGGTATTTACCACAGAGCAGGGATTCATACTTCTGATAAAAAGTATGATTCCAATGGAAAGTGATTCTCTCTTGGGACCTGAAAGTTATAGAATGTATATACTGTTCGCTGATTGAAGCAGCTGAGATGGATGATGTGTGCTCACCAGAGAGCACACTGCACAAGTAAAGGCTAAAAGCTGAGAAAGTTGGTGCACGTAGAAAATGAAAGCTCACTCTGTCTGGAACATAGACTGTAAGGAAGGATGAGAGGTGAGGCTGGAAAAGTTAGCGAAGGTCAAATTGAGACAGATCTAGATGGCTTGTGAAAGGCATCTTCTTCTAAAAAGAAAAGAAATGGCGCATTAATTATGTATTTTTGAAGAGTCACCACTGGGCCAATTGGTAGTACCATGATAGATGGAAAAGAGATTGAGGTTGTTAATAATTTCAGCTTGCTCGGCTCTACAATCAGCACTCTTTGTACTAGCAGTCAGGAAATCTAATTGCACTGGAGAAGTCTGCTGTCAGGGACCTCTCCAGGGTGCTAAAGAGTAATGATGTAAGTCTAGGGACTAAGGTGTGCCTCATCCAGGCCATGGTTTTCACAATTAAATCAGAGTTGGACTGTGACCAAGGGTGACAGAAGAATAATTGATACCTTTGAGTTGTGGTGCTGGAGAAGAGTATTGAACATATCACAGACCACCAAGAGAACAAACAAGTCTGTATTGTTGTTGTTGATATGTGCCGTTGAGTTGCTTGCAACTGATAGTGACCCTGTGTACAACAGCCCTAAATTCTGCTCTGTCCTGTGCCAGTCACACTGTCTCCGACACACCCATCCCAATTACCCCAGTCACTGAATCAATCCACCTCATAGAGGGCCTTCCCCTCCTGCGCCTGCCCTCCACCCTCCCAAGCATGATGACCCTCTCCAAGGACCGGTCCCTCCTTACAACATGTCCAAAACATGTCAGACGGAGCCTCAGAATCCTTGCCTCTAAGGAGCCGCCCAGTTTGACCCTTTCCAGGATGAATCTGTTTTCCTAACAGTCGATGGTACCTTCAGTACTCTTCTCCAGCACCACAGCTCAAAGACATCAATTCTCCTCCTATCCTCCTTGGTCATTGTCCAACTCTCTGATGCATAACAAGTGATTGCGAAGACCATGGCCTGTATCAGACGCACCTTAGTCTCCAGAGAGACACCATTGCTATTCAGTACTTTGGAGAGGTCCCTAACAGCAGACTTTCCCATGGCAATGTGCCTCTTAATTTTCTGGCTGCTGGTGCCAAGACTGTTGACCGTGGAGCCAAGCAAACTAAAGCTGTGTACAATCTCAATCTCTTCACCATCCATCCTGATGCTGCCAATTGGTCCAGTGGTGAGAATCTTTTGTCTTCTTGACATTGAGCCTCAATCCATATTGGAGGCTGCAGTCCTTGACCTTCTGCAGCAGGTGCTTCAGGTCCTCTTCATTTTCAGCAAGCAGGGTTGTGTCATCCGCATAACGCAGATTGTTGATAAATCATCCACCAATCTTGACCCCACATTTCTCCTCATAGAGCCCAGCCTCCCAGATAATCTGTTGTGCATATAGGTTGAAAAGGTACGGAGATAGGATGCATCCCTGGCATACGCCCTTCCCAATTTTGAACCATGCAGTGTTCCCTTGCTCTGTTCTGACGACTGCCTCCTGGTCCAAGTATAGGTTTCGCATTAGAATGATCAAGTGTTCTGGGATTCCCATTCTTCTCAGAGTCAGCCATAGTTTGTTATGATCCACACAGTCAAATGCCTTTGCATAGTCAATGAAACACAGATAGACATTTCTCTGGTACTCCCTGCTTTCAGCTAAGATCCATCTAACAAGTGATATTAGAAAGGGTAAAATCAAGTTTCTCCTTGGAAGCAATGATTTTGAAGCTCCATCTCACATACTTTGGGCATGTGGCCAGGAGGGATCAATCCTTGGAGAAGAAAATAATGCTTGGAATGGTGGAGGGACAGCGCAGGAGAGGAAGACCTCGGATGAGATGAATTTACACAGTGACTAGAGTAATGGTGATAGATGTGTTGGAGACAGTAAACTGGCACAGGATGAAGCAGTGCTCAGAGCTCTTGTACACAGTGTTGCTATGAGTCGCAGGCAACTCGATGGCACATTAACAACAATAGCATATGCATATGAAAGCTCGACATTGGAATAAGGGAGACTAAAGAAGAATTGATGTCTTTATTATTTGAAGAAGAAGAAACAAATCTGTCCTGGAAGAAGTGCAGCCAGAGTGTTCCTTAGGAGTGCAGATGGCCAGCCTTCATCTGACGTATTTTGGATGTGTCAGCAGAAGGAGCCAGTCCTTGAGGAAGGACCTCATACTCTGTAGAGGATCCATGACAAAGAAGAAAGGTTGATGTATTAACTACAACAGGTGGCTCATATACGGCAACAGTTGTGATGTTGTCATGGACTGGGTGATGCTTTCTTTGGTTGCACGTAGGCTCACTGTATCCAATTAGAATCCATCTCATCAAGCCTCAGCTTCCTCTCTAGAAAATGATATGCTCCTTCTGTATGTTCCTATTCTAGTAAGAATAAGTTGCAGTTTGTAACTCTGACATATCTAAGCACCAAATTCAACCTTGCCACATATCTATGACTACATCAAATAGTTATTCAACCCTTTGATAGTAACGTTTCTGTATAAAATGTAAGACAATGATAGTTAAGACATAAGGTCATCAAAAAAATTTACTGTCAGGGGAGCTCTGGTGGTCTAGTGGTAAGAAGCTGCAACTACAATCCCAGAGGCGCATGGTTCGAATCCATCAGATGCTCTGCTGGAGAAGGAGGGACAATCTCCTCCTGTACCAGTCAGATCTGATTTGACAGTACACTCACACAAAAATAATAAAATAAAATAAAATAAAAATTTACTGTCTACTGGGTACCATTTTAAAAATCACAATATCTGATTTTCCTCATTTTATTGATTTAAGAACCTGAGGCTGGGATGTGGGGCTACTGGGTTGTTAAATATTTTGCCCCAAATTATACAGCTGGAAGGTGATGAGTCAGAATTTGAGGCCAGCTGTTGACCTCAAAACTTGTCTAAACTCCCATATGAATCAAATCACATGCAAATCATGTCACCTAATGCTTGTCACCCAGCCGGAGCATAAAATGTGTTTTTCCTCTCTCTTTTAATATTTCATTCCCATTTTCCAATAATGAATAGTGACTAATATGCTAGTGTGAAATGATCCTTCATTTTTAGGACAAGTCAGTTTATATTTGTTGATAATCTTCTGTGTTTATGCCTATTAAATTCTTAATACAGACCTTATTTACCAGGAAGGCTTATTTACCAGGAAGCTCTAGTGGTCTAGTGGGTAAGGAGTTGCACTGCCAGCCCAGAGGTAGACACTTTGAATCCACCAACTATTATACAAGATAGAAAGTCTCCTCTGATACAATTTACAGTCTCTGAGAACTCACTGGAGGGTCAGCTATGATTTGATTTCTACTGGATGGCACATAAACAACAGCATAGGGCTTCTTTATTTTACAACTGAGTAAACAGATACAGTTAAGTGAGAAATTTGAGGTTCAAACCCATGTTCTTTTCTTAACTGCTCCTTACGATATTAATACTAATAATTGTCTTAAAGGATAAATTCCTTTTGTCTTTAAAATACCCCTAACATGATGTTACTCTCCACCTTTTTTAATAAGCAGAAAATTGACAGAAAGGTTGCGTAAATTACCGAGTTTACTTAAGTGATGGTACAGAAATTTGGCCTGCTTTCATGACCTTTCCCCTTTACTGTGTTAAGTAATGTTCCCATGTAGAGGAGACAACTAGAGAAACTCAGAGAATCCTAACAGAACTGCTGAGCTGAATAGGACGATGATAATTAACCCTAAGTGCTAAACTGAAAGACAGGAGCTGCTGTGGTGAACAGATGTTGACTGCTCCTGTGTTTTGTTTTAGGTGCTGTTACACTACCAAACTGTCAGTGAGCCTGCTGTTATTAAAAGGCTGATCAGTGTCCTAAACAAAAACACCGGTGAAGTCACAAAGAAAAAGCCCAAGTAAGTGTTCTGATGCAAAATAATAAATACAAGCAAATTATGTACAAATCCTCCCATGTGTGTGGTATTTTTTTTCAATGGTGTTTAGAGCTCTTGTACATAGGGTCGCTATGAATCGCAGATGATTCGATGGCACATAACAACAACAAACAACAGACATCATTTGGCATATATGGGAAAGGTATGTGAATTGGAAATACAGACTTCTAGTGTGTGATTTCCTGGATTCTGAAGATGTAGGAGAGGTGGGGGAAGGCTTAAAAAATCCATACTGTCTTTTAAAGATAAACTTGAGTTACGCCTTAGCACCACGTCCGCATAGTAGCTGAGGACTTCCCTCGGCTTGCTTGTTACTTTGGCCATGAAACTCATTGCCTGTGCTGAGCATTACCCCAGGGAGAAAGCTGCCCGCTCACTCTAAGCCTGTTAGTCCCAGCTGACAGGGACTTTGCATAGTGCTCAGAGTCTCGTGGAGCCTTGACGAAGCCGAGAGACCCCACCATTCTTTTTGTCCTCTCGGATTACCGTTAGATCTCGAGCCATGACGTGGCCAGCTCCCTGAGACAAGATCAGGACTTTTAAAGGAAGTGCTTCCTGAGAAACTTCAGTTCTCAAAATAAAAACAAAAGACTAGAGGCAGATGTTATAAAATATAGTTTCTGACCCTGCATCAACTAAAGTGTAATCACAGTTTGGCTTGGCTGCTTCGGCTCTGGGGTTTTCCTGACTTAGACCTTGGGTGGAATCCCACCCAAAAATCCCCCCTTTTCAATCTTTACTTGTTCCCCATCTTTGCACCTGTGGAGGAGGAAACCCAGAAGTGTTTAGTGAGTTAACAGCTTGGCTGCAAATGGAAGAGAAGATCTTCACACTGCTCTAAACCTACGTTTCCTTAAATTAAGAAAACAGCTGCATCATGTCTTTCTTGAAGCTAGATCTTTATTTTTATCTTTTGCTCCTGGGTTTTGAGGAGGATGAGTTTTTGCCATGATGCCCCAGGAAATGTGATGTACAGTGAATGTTTTTAGGACCCCTGTGTTCCGTCCTTTCTCTTTAATACTTTCCCTGGCTTATGTTTTCAGCCTTCATAGGAAGCGGATCCTCTTCTCTGTCTTATTTTTGAGACTAGGAAATTGATACTTAGATTGCTTATCATTGGCTAGGTCACAAAGCTAACAAGTAGCAGAACCAGTATAACCCAGTCAGGTTATTCTGGCTAAAGCAAGATGCTTTGATTTGTATGACAGATTCAGAGAATTCTTAATCTGAAATGAACTCATCATACTACATCTTTAATTTTTCTCTTCTTTTTTATGTTATAAATTCCTATCCCAGTGATGCTAGTCTTACATAGTCTCATGTCAGCTTTCTGTGACCTTATTTGCAACTCATTTTCTCTTGAGCTGCACTAGCACCATTAGACCTTCCTAGTACATTCCCACTTAGACACATGAGGTAATGCATTGAATTACAGTTATCTTTCTAGAAACAAAATTAAGGGAAAGCTTAGATGCCGTTTTTCCAAATAGAACATTAAGAAAGTTTTATCTTTGAGAAACCTACCCTAAAAAACCATCTCTCTGCCCCTAAAAGGGGAACTTAACAGTTCTTCTCTGTCCTTGTAGAGCACATTGAAATGAACTGGACAACAGTTCAGAATGTCCCTGAGTCTCTGGCTCAGTAGTTCTGGGTTTGGCTCAAATGCAAGGTTTCATGTCTCTTCTTTGCTTGAAACTATAATCTGACTCATGCTCCCATCCCCTTTGCTTTCAACAAACATTTTTTTTAAAAATCCCATTGTCATTTTTGTTCTAAACTTGCTGATAAATCACTTTTTGCTGTGTGTGTTTTGTGTATGAGAGAGAGACATTGCTGTGAGTGTCACAGAAAGCTAACATGAGAGAGAACTAAGAACTTAGAGCCGTCATTTGATACCTGGATGTTATTTTTTTTTTTCATAATTTAAAAATAACTTCCCTATACACCTTTCTACAAATTAGAATTTTACTCAAGAAGATACAAGGCTTTGTATTTCTCTTTTAAAACGCAAATAACCCCTTTGTATGATTAAATGTAGACTTTTTAAATTGGGGAAATGTGTCAGTTTCTTGGCAAAGGTCTTTTACAAGTGAGGGGATGAATTAGAAAAATATTGATCAGGCACATGACAGTGGCCCTTCATGTGATAGAGCTCAGAAGACTAATAAAAACTAGGTAAACTGGCTTAAATACAGAATTAATCCTCTCAGTTCACTCTACTAATCGATGAAATTTAAAGGTGTATCTTTTTTTTAATTTCATTTCTCTTTTTTCTGCTTAGTTTTAAAAACTGTTAATTTAATATTTTGAATGTGAAATATTTCTTCACATGGTTGTTAATGACACTTGTTTTGTTACTAGGTTGTTAACTAAAGGCCAGAATGCCTTGGTGGAGCTGCAGACACAGAGACCCATAGCTCTGGAGCTGTACAAAGACTTTAAAGAGCTGGGGCGGTTCATGCTGCGTTACAGTGGTTCTACAATAGCTGCTGGTGTAGTCACGGAGGTATTTAAACAACTGATTGTGTGTCCACTCCCCCCACTTTTTGTGGTAATTATTGCCTGAAGTAACCATTAGTGGCGCAAACAGTTAATGTGCTTGACCACTAACAGAGAGGTTGGAGGTTCAAGTCCACACAGCGGCACGTTGGGAGAAAGGCCTGGCAGTCTACTTCTGCTAAAGGAACCACTGCAGACCCTGTGGCGTGTAGTTCTGCTTTAGCACATGAGGTCGCCTGAGTCAGAGTCAGCTTTGGTAAGAGATGATGGATGTGAGTTGAAGTGCTATGACTTAAGGAAACCAGCCATAGTATTAGGATAAGAGACCAAAATTTATATTTCAAAAATAAAAGAACAATTAGAAAAACCTATTTGATTGTGAAACTTCAAATAGACTTTCAAATTATATTCTCACGTCAAAATGAAAACCTGCCTGTTGTGAACAAAACTCAGAACTGTGAAAATGGCCCCACTTGTTGGTCTGATAAAGACTGGTGGGACTCCTCGAACTTTGGCTCTTGGTCGGGCCAAGAACTTGGAACTACATTCAACCCCGTGGCTCACCTTTCACCCACACAGTAGACAGGCCTATGGAGCAAGCAGTAATGCCAGGGAAGGATTCACTCCCTACAACAGGCAACCATGTGAGATCAATAGGGCAACATTTGTTTGGGGATAAAGCTCAGAAAGCAGGAAGGAATAAGATAGAAGGGTGAATGGAGAAGAGAATTGCAGAGAGGATTCAGTAAGAGGAATGCTACCATGTGTGGATTGGAATTAACACCATCCAACTGTGCATAAATGATTAACTAGAAAACAAAGTTCGTCTGTCAACTGCCACTCAAATTACAATAAGAAATCCACAACTGGAAGATGAAATCAATGCATGTGACCTTCTAAAAATTAATCCCAGTGTGCATCAGTTTTTTCCAATAGAGTGAAAATAAAGCCTACAGATGGAGAATAAATACTTGTAATGACATCTCAGACAGTGGTCTCTTGTCTAAAGTTTATAACTATAGTTTACAGAATACTACAAGTTCAAAGTCTACAGTTTATAACTGTAGTTTACAGAATACTACAAGTTCAAAGTCTACACTTTATAACTATTGTTTACAGACTGCTACAACTCTCCAACTAAAGGGCCTCCACAAGAAAAAGACTTATTAGCCCAATGATAAAATGGGCAAACACATGAAAATACTCTTCACAAAGAAAGATGTTCGGCTGGTGAACAGACACATAAAGTAATGTTCAAAATTACTGGCAGTTAGAGAGATGTGAATCAAAACAACAGTGAAATACCATCTTACCCCGGAGCAGAAGCAAATTTTACCGGAACAGCAAGCATTAAATATTGGAGAGGATGCAGAGAGATTGGAACGCATGTATACCAGTGGTGGGATTGTAAAAGGTATGACCACGCTGGAAGGCAGTTTGACATTTCCTCAGAAATCTGAACATAGAAATTCCATATGACCCAGCTATTACACTGCTAGGCATATATACCCCAAGGAAATTAGAACTGAGACTTGAACAGGAATATATGTACACCTGTGTCCAAAGCAGCATTCGTAACATAATAGAAAGAAATAGAAACAGCCCGCATACCCATTAAACAAACTAATGGATTGGGAAATTGTGGTACATCCACACACTAGAATACTATGCAGCACTAAGGAACAGTGATTTCTTAAAATCCTATATAACATAGGAGCTTCGAGAAAGCATTATGCTGAGTGAACTAACTTAAACTCATAAGGACAAATACTGCATAATAAAAGTATGGTTAAAGTAGAAGGATAACTGATCCAGGCCGTAGTCTTTGCAGTTACTTGCTATGCATCAGAAAGCTGGACAGTGACCAAGGATCATAAAAGGAGAATTGAGACCTTTGAGTTGTGGTGCTGGAGAATAGTATTGAATATACCATGGACTAAACAGGCTTGTCCTGGAGAGGGTGAGACCAGGCTGCTCCTTGGACGCAAAGATTTTGAAGATTCGTCTGACATACATTGGACATGTTGTATGGAGGGACCAGTCCTTAGAGAGGGACGTAATGTTTGGGAGGGTGGAAGCACGGCGCAAGAGAGGAAGACCCTTGATGAGACGGATCAATTCATTGACTGGGGTGAGGAGGGTAGGTATATCAATGACAATAAGGTTGGCTCAGGATAGAGCAGGGTTATGAGTCGCAAGTGACCCAATGGCACAGAACAACAACAACTGAGCAACATGTGTATAAATGTACAGAAGGAGAAAGGGAATGGGAAAGGGAAAGAGTAAGAGACTTCACCAGGAGAACAGAAGTTAGTGGTGGAGGGGGCTGAAGAAATAGGAAATATTTAATGGAGACTTGAAACAACAGGGTAGCTACTAGGCATAGATCAGTAGTAATTATATAAAATATATGAATGCTTGTATACAACATAATGTACATGAACAAAACACAGTGTAAGTGAAAGATTGTATGAAGCTCCTTGTATATGAATAATTACATGCAAACCAGTAAAAATACCAGAAAAAATTTACAGTAAGAACGTTTAAAAAATTCATCAGCTACTTCTCTCCCCCAAATGAAATAAAATAGTAGATAAAGAATCTAAACTATGGAATATAAACTTTAGTATTTAAATGAGTATTTCTTTTACTTAGAAAAACTCTTATTAATCTTTAAATAATTGTCTCTTTAAATACATTTAAAGTAATTCCTTTAAAAAATTGTGTTAACATTCTAGTAATGTTTCAGAAACATGTCTATTTAAAAAAAAATGCAGGGTAAATTGTGAGTTTTGAAGAAAATAGCCTATTAAGGAGCCAGGAAAATAAAAATCATGAAATCAACAATTTTTTCCCTCACACTGTCTTAATTAATAGAAATCGCAAATGCATTATTTCATGATTATTCTCCTATAACTTAATATATTTGAGTACAAAAGAAATTCAACCATACAAGAGATATTCTTATGTGCTGTTGAGTCAGAACTGTCCCGTACCTGACTGCCTAGTGGGTTTTCAGAGGCAGTAAATCACACGGGAGGAGCTTGCCCATCTTTCCACCGTGAAGCACCCGGTGGATTCTAACCATGTGCTTTAGAGATGGCAGCACAGCTTATTAGCACTAAGCCACCGAGGCTCATCCAGTCAGTATTGATCCAAGCTGGATTTGAACCACATGCCTTTGGGTTTGGAGCACAGTAACTTACAACTGAGCCCCAAGAACTCCCTACAGATTTTTGAATTGCATAAAAACTCATTTGTATATATGATAAAATCTTACTTTCAAATATCTAGGGCACAAAGAAACTTTATGTATGTCATTTATATAATCTGTTTAGGCAGTAGTGTAAGATTGAGGTGGAGTCAGTGTAAAGGCTATGCAATTAATCTGCCCAAATTTGGGATCTTGTTCCATTGACCACCAGCAGCACAAATAAAAAATCACTCATTTAAGAAGTGGCATCCACTTCCTAAACAACATGCTTCTGAAAACTCTATGAACTTTGATAAATGTCAATAGTTAGAGAAAGGCTTCAGGCCTTTTGTTCTTAGGGTCACTGTGAGTCATGTTCCACTTGAAGGCAATCAACAACAACAACAATCTAGAAAAGTGTGGTAATCACATTTTAATGTGGCGATGAGCTAGTCTTACTAACAACAATGACCTCCTAGAGTTGTGAAATGATAGGTGAATACAGCGCACTTGGCTGAGGCCTTGGCCGAGCCCTTGACACATAGGAAGCATTAAGTACACATTAGTTAGTCTCGTTATTGTCATCATCATCAAGCTTCATCTGAAAAGGCATCTTTATAAAAGGGCACAATAAAAAATAGTGTTTCCTGTGAAGAATAATGAGCAGATAATATTAAGTCTCAGAAATAACAAGAAATTTGCAAGGGAAAGCAAACAAGTTTTCATGCAATAATTATTTTCATTTTCCTTTTGGTACTGTTTTTAGAAAATGATTGATTAAATTATAGCAAATTTTCCTTGTTTGTTTTCTTTGCAGATAAAGGAATGATGGATTACAAGTTTCTGTCCTGATGCCAAATCCAGTGAAACAGCTATCCTCAAATTTTAAAGAACCAGTTAAAAGAACAATTTTTAAGTGTGAGAAAAGTACATCTATACTCAACTCCAAAGAAGAAATAATCACTCCGGCCAAAATTTTAAGTTGCCTAATGGCAAAGAAAGGCTAATATTGCACGTCCGTTTAAAAAAAAAAAAACAGAAGAAAGCTTTTCTTTTGAAATTGTAGTACATGAATTTGCCTTGCTGACATTTAGGGAAACTGATCAAAATATGTATTCCAAGATAGCAGATCATCATGAAATGAACTCTACTTCAGCTGAACCACAAAATGTTTACAGTTTTCTCTTTTGATTTTCCATTTTACTGCACACTTTTTAAGGAAAAAGTCACTAAATCAGATTGTTGAAGTAGTTAATATTTAACCTGGTTTGTGGTAACACCTAAACTTTTGAAATCTTAGTTTGGAATTAATGGAAGCTGTTCCTTTAGGAACCAGGATATTATTTAAGATGTAAAGCCTATAATAAAATATCTTAGTTTGAGCATAACAGCAAATGGTGTTTTGTTTCTTAGACTTTTCTTAGATGTCTGTCCTGCTGCTAATAAAACTGAATATGACTTGGGGGTTTTGTGAGATGTTTATCACCTTTGAGTTCCTTGGTTCTGTCATGCAAATTTTATCCTAATAGCCAGAGATCAAATATAGTCTCGTTAAACAGATTTCTTTCAGGTTGAAAGTAAGTAATTATTTGTTTTTTTTAAAGATAAGTATGTCTCTAGGGAGCTCTGGTAGCCTAGTGGTAAGAAGCTGTGCTGCAGTCCCAAAGGCACGTGGTTCTAATCCTCCTGCTGCTCCGCGAAAGGATGAGCAGTTTCTTCCCATGCAGTTAACTGCCTCTGAAAACCTACTGGAAGGACAGCTGTAGGTTGGTTTCAACTCAGCGGCACACAATAACAACCACAACATGTCTCTAACCTGCCCTCCCTAGTGGGATGTAGTGGTCTCTGGTCTGGCTTGGAGTGCTACCATCTTGGGGCTGCTTGCATTCATATCTAGTCCCACCGCCTGTCCCCCTTATTCTTCAGTGTGGTGAGGATCATCATTTAGCTCCCCCTCCACTCTCTGGCTTATCCCTATAAATTCTCTTTAAAAACTCACTCCCAGACATGATATCTGTTTCTGGAAGATTGTTGTCTGTCATTCCTAAAGGCCACTCTTCTTAGAGAAACTTGTCTCTGCTTTGTCTCTCTTAACACGTGGTCTCAGTACACATGTTTGGTGGCCTTTCTGCCTAGGGTTGCCCCTGTGTTTAGCCATGAGCACGTCTCCGCAGTTTAGTCCTTTACTGTTACTCCCGGAGTCAAATCAGAATAGCTACGATTCCTTCCCCATTGGCAGAAAAGAAGCAGTGAAATGTACAGCTTTGCGCCAAGAAACAATTTTAGGGTCCATGCACTTTCTGTTCAAGACATCGTTGATGATAAGCCCTGGTTCTTGGCCATTAAAACCCTTCTTCCTGGAAAAAAATTGACTCACTATAATCTTCCCCTGGATTTGAATTATGAATTATTCAAACTTCCAGGGTGTGCTGCCTTCTGGGATTGAGATTGTGATGTCTGATTCTCAAGCACCTGGTCACATAGAGCCATGACAGCACAGGGGAGCTGGGTGGTGACAGAGCTGCTTTTATGGCTTGTGGCCCTTGCAGTGCCAGTTCAGAGACCAGGTGAAAGCGAAGCAGGAGGAGCTAAGGACGTAGATGGACAAGTGACTCAAATGACCAGTGAATTCAGAAGACTGAGCGTCAACATTCATTTAAGTATTAACTATAGACATGGTAAGGGGTCTTGGTGACATGTTGTTGTTGTTGTTGTTATGTGCCGTCGAGTCGCTTGCGACTCATAGCGACCCTGTGTAAAACAGCCCTAAACTCTGCTCTGTCCTGTGCCATTCGCACTGTCTCTGACACTCCCATCCCAATTATCCCATTCACTGAATCAATCCACCTCATAGGGGCCTTCCTCTCCTGCGCTGTCCCTCCACCCTCCCAAGCATGATGTCCCTCTCCAAGGACCGGTCTCTCGCCTCACAACATGTCCAAAGTATGTTAGACGGAGCCTCAGAATCCTTGCCTCCAAGGAGCCCCCCGGTTTAACCCTTTCCAGGACAAATCTGTTTGTTTTCCTAGCAGTCCATGGTATTCTCAGTACTCTTCTCCAGCACCACAGCTCAAAGGCATCAATTCTCCTTCTATCCTCCTTAGTCACTGTCCAACTCTCTGATGCATAACAAGTGATTGCAAAGACCATAGCCTGTATCAGACGCACCTCAGTCTCCAGAGAGACACCATTGCTCTTCAGTACTTTGGAGAGGTCCCTAACAGCAGACTTTCCCATAGCAATGCGCCTTTTAATTTCCTGGCTGCTGGTGCCAAGACTGTTGACTACAGAGCCAAACAAACTAAAGCTGTGTACAATCTCAATCTCTTTACCATCCATCCTGATGCTGCCAATTGGTCCAGTGGTGAGAATCTTTGTCTTCTTGACATTGAGCCTCAATCCATATTGTAGGCTGCAGTCCTTGACGCTCTGCAGCAGGCGCTTCAGGTCCTCTTCAGTTTCAGCAAGGAGGGTTGTGTCATCCACATAACGCAGGTTGTTGATAAATCGTCCACCAATCTTGACCCCACATTTCTCCTCATAGAGCCCAGCCTCCCGGATAATCTGTTCTGCATACAGGTTGAAAAGGTATGGAGATAGGATGCATCCCTGGCGTACGCCCTTCCCAATTTTGAACCATGCAGTGTTCCCTTGCTCTGTTCTGATGACTGCCTCCTGGTCTAAGTATACGTTTTGCATTAGCATGATCAAGTGACATAGGACAGGACATAATGAGCTGCTGACCCAAAGGCTTTAGTTTTTGCTCTATTAGCGAAAAACGGAGAGTCTTCTCTGGTCCAGAGTTTCCGAGATGGTGAGGACAGCACAGGAGAGGACAGGGTTCATATCTGTGCTCATAGCGTTGCTATGAGTCGTACTTGATTCAGCAGCACCTAACAACAGCCACCACCACCACGGGTACGGAGTTGTGCTGCCAGCCCAAAGGCAGGAGGTTCAAATCCACCAGCTCGTCTCATGTAATTTACAGCCTCTTTCAGAAGAGAATCAGCTTCCAACCAGATGGAACGTAACAGCAAAGCAACTCCTGTAAAGACTTACCACCTTGAAATCCCCATAGGAGATCGCCATGACTCAGCATTCACTCACTGCTGCTGTTATGTGCCATCGAGTCACCGGTGACTAATGGCAACCTATGCACAGCAGCTCTGAAGCCTGCCCTGTCCTGAGTCTCACTGACTCGAACACACTTTACCTCAGTTAACTTTGTCAGTCCATCTCAGGGTCTTTCTCTCCTGTGCCGTCCCTCTGCCCTTTAAAGCATGATGTCCTCCAAGGACTGATCTCTCCTGGCCACGTGCTCAAAGAATGTGAGACAGAGTTTCAAAATCCTTGTCTCTGGAGCTCTATGAAGCAGCTCAGTTTCACCCTCTCTGACAGGCCTGTTAGTTCTCTTGGCAAGCCATGGGATGTTCAATACTTTTCTCCAGCATCACAACTCAAAGGCATCAATTCTGTCATCTTTGGTCATTGTCTAGCTCTCTGATGCATAGCAAGTAATTGTGAAGATCATGGCCTGAATCAGGCCTACCTGAGTCTCCAAAATGACATCATTGCACTTCAGCACTTTTGATGTATTTTGAGGTATAAAAGTAGTATAGGTTCATTTTAATATTTTCAAGTAATATAAAAGTATAATGCGTCAAAAGGAAAGAAATACTTCATTCCTTCGTACGTCTCTTGGGTCCTCTCAGACATGTAAATACCTGAAGGGCTCATAGTGTTCTTATTCCTAAAATACCCTGGAGATAAGGCAGGTTCCATCCCAAAGCCATACAGAAAATTGAGGAGTGCAACAAAGGAAGTCACTTGGCTCGATTTTAGATCAGTGCATATGAAAGTTTTATTCATATTATATTTATTGTCTGCGCAATAGCATTATGAAAAAGTTTGAAAAACTATGGAATTCATCAAACTCTGGCAGAAAGACACAAGGAAAGCAGACAATATTTTTTAAAAAATGGCATCGATAGACTGGCTGGACTCAAGGTTGCTACAATTATACCAACACAGTCTCTGCAAAGCACCGTAAAATTAGATATGCTCTTATTCACTACCATTATTGTTTCCACCTTACAGTATGTCATTTTAGTGTTTGAGTAGTAGTCCGTGTTGTAGTTGTGCTATGTTGATGTGTACTATCATATAATCAGCAAGTCATATAACCTGATAAAGTTCACCAAATTATAAGCACTTTGGATAATTTTAAATTTTATAAATTGTTATTAAAAATTACTTCTTTGTGATTTATCTTCTAGCCCATGAGCAAATAATTCTGCAGGAGGAATTTTGAGAAAGGGAACTATTAGGCAAAAAGGTAGGTGTTAAGTTCTGCCAAGTCAGTGCCGACTCCTAGCAGCCCTGTGTACAACAGAAGGCAGCCCCGCTGAGCCTGCATCGCCCTGCCAGTCTCTGCTGTCTTAAGCCCACAGTCACCTGTCAGTTTGATTCACTGGGGCTTTTTCTCTTTTGCTAACCCACTTCTTTTCCAAGCATGATTGTCCCCTAGGATCTCTCCTGAAAACATGCCCTAAGTTCTTAGTGCATTTGCATTTTTCTTTTTTAAATTGTGATTTTGACAAAAGTTTACAGAAAGGTTGGGTTTTCATTCATTCATTCATTTATTGCTGCAGATTTTACTCCTTTCCCTAGTCCACTTTGCAAAAAAATCTTCTTGTCCAGATTGTTGCCGTGTATGTAATATCTAATCATATATTCCTTTCAGACAGTTCTCCTTATCTGTTCCAAAGCAGTGTTTACTATCTATCCACTCTTCCTATTTTCTGCCAAAACACCCCATTCAGTTCTGTTTTATAACCGTAGTGTTAGGCAGTATTTGTCCTTTTGTGACTGAGATATTTCTCAGCATAAAGTCCTTCAGGCATTATTTTGTAATGTTTTACAAGTTCACTTACAAGAATATCCATGTTGTATCGTGTTTTGAGTTCATGGTTTTTCACTGCTGTGTAATATTCTTTGTGTGAATGTACCATAGCTTTTCTATGCATTTGTTTGTTGATGGGCATGTAGGTTGCTTCCATCTCTTTGCTGTTGTGAAAATGTAGCAATAAACATGAGTGTGCATACATCTATCTGTTTGAGTCGCAGCTCTGATTTCTTCAGGATATATTCCCAGTAGTGGAAGACTTGCTTTTAAGAAGTACTTAACTTATAAGGTAGATTTGTTTATCCTTCTGACATTTCATGGTATATTCAGTATTCTTTGCCATCATCTCTCTTATTCACAGTCCACCTTTCACAGGCATAAGAAAACAACAGAAAATACCATGGCTTTAGTTGGGAGTACTTTAGTCTTTAGAATGATGTCTTTTCTCTTTAGCATTTAAAAAGGTCCTTGGCACTAGATTTGCATTGTTTGATTTCTTGACTGCTGCTTCCAGGAGTGCTGATTGTTGATCCATGTAAAAAGATAAGCACACTTAAATGATGACAAACTACTTTTTAAAATACTTCTTGGAAAGCTTCCCTTGGGAATGCATGTTTCCCCATGTCCTGATATACAGGGAGGTCTTTAGAACTGCTTTCTGATCTAATTGACAAAATAAGGCACCTCTTCATAATTTTTATCTCCTTATTAACAATGAGGATGAATTTCCTTTGGTATATTCAGTTGTGTTATTTTCTGTAAATTGTTTTTTCCTACCCTGTGTTTATATATTGGGTTGGCCTTAATATATCTTAACAATTTGTAATGTATTAGTTAACAATTTGTAGCTGTTGTGCTGGAGAAGAGTATTGAGGGTACCATGGCCTGTTAGGAAAACAGATTCATCCTGGAAAGGGCTAAACTGGGCGGCTCCTTGGAGGCAAGGATTCTGAGGCCCCATCTCACATACTTTGGACATGTTGTAAGGAGAGATTGGTCCTTGGAGAAGGACATCATGCTTGGGAGGGTGGAGGGACAGCACAGGAGGGGAAGGCCCTCTATGAGGTGGATTGATTCAATGACTGGGGTAATCGGGATGGGAGTGTCAGAGACAGTGCGATTGGCACAGGACAGAGCAGAGTTTAGGGCACATAACAACAACAACAACATTACTTTCATACATGGTACCCTTGTTACTAACAGGAAATCAGGAATCTTACTGCATTGGGTAAGTCTGCTGTCAGGGACCTCTACAAAATGTTGATAAGCAGTGATTTCAATTTGAAGACTAAGGTACACCTTAGAAGGCTATGGTCTCAATCACCTGCTGTGTATATGAGAGCTGGACAGTGAATAAAGATGACAGAATAATTGATGTTTTTGAGTTGTGGTGTTGGAGAAGAGCACTTAATATTCCATGGACTGCCAAGAGAATAAACAGATTTGTCTTGGAAAGGGTGCAGCCAGGGTGCTCTTTGAAGTCAAAGATGGTGAAGCTTCATCTCTCATACTTTGGACATGTAGCTAGACAAGGCTATTCCTTGGGAAAGGATATCGTGTTTGGCAAGATGGAAGGTCAGTGAAGAGGAAAAAGCCCCCTTTCCCAAATGGATTGATAGGTGACTTCAGCAGTGTATCCTAATTGTCAGTGTTGAGGATGGCACAGGATGGGGCAGGGTTTGGGTGAGCTGTTCATAGGGTCTCTGTGAGTTGACTTGATGGCATCTAACAACAACAACATTACATCAATGCACTAGAATCACTCTTTTTATATATGTCACATTTTGGCTTGCATCTTCATCTCCATGACATATCTGGGACATCTCCTTTGGAGACCAAGGGCCTGTGGGTCATACCTTAGTTACTGTGTGATAGTGGACAAGTTGTTTGACCTTTCAGAGGCTCCGTTTCATCTACAAGCGAGTGCAAGGAATACTATTTTCATCATACAGAGTTGTATGGATTAAATGAGTTGTTAGTTCACTTTGACTCACAATGACCTTATATATGATGACCTTTATAGAATAAGATGATGCCCCGTCATGAGTTTTCTCCACTGAAATATGACTTGATCCAGAGACAGACATGCAGTAAAAAATGATGAGTGTAGAGTTGAGCCAAATAAATTGACCCATATGTTTTGACAATCTGGAAATAGTATGAACACAAAGGCTGATTTAACACATGATTGCACTCTAAATCTTGGAGACCGCTAGGGAGACCATTCTTTGTTCCAGGTTTGGAGATAGGTAGGAATATTCAGGAAATTTTGGATCATCTTCCACTAGTCAATGATTTGCAGATGAGGTCACTGGTTGGAAAGGAGGAGATGAACTCAGAAATAGATTAAAGGGGACAACAAACCTGAACTAGTGTAGAGGCGAAAGAAAAACCTTTCCTTTATGATGGCCGGAACAAAGGCACTTCTCATCCTGGAAAACTTCATAGGTGGAAAGTTTTCACCTTGTAACTCATATATAGACTCTTACGACCCGTCTACAGGGGAAGTGTACTGCAGAGTGCCAAACAGTGGGAAAGCAGAGGTGAGTTACCGCTCAGAGAAACTGGAAACTTGGGGCATTTACTGAATATATTCCATTTATGTAGTGTATTGGTGAACTGTATTTCATTTACTAAACGCAGAAGGAGTTGGAGGAAAAGAGTATAGTAGTTAAACACCAGAAAGAAAATCCTGGTTCTAGAAAGGCAAATAAGTGAGATGAATCTGAGTGTACTATATTCAGAAGCCGTCACTTGTCTAGCCTCATTAACACAGAGATGTGTGTTCATTTCCTCATAATCCATGCACATTTCCGAGTGAGTCTAGTTAAGAGTATTATTTTTAGGAATGATTAGCATTACCAAATGCTCCCTTTTGTCTTTGAATTGCTGTCTACATGTGGCACTCTATGGATTTCTAACAAATATGTTCCTTTCCTGAAACACACTACAGGGATTAATCTTAGATTGCCTTCTGGGTAATTTCTCCTATCTTCACAATAACCACTGTAACTTGGCAGAGGCAGTGATGTGAAATTAGGAATTTGAAATATGAAATGAAAAGATAAATTCTCATATTTATGAGAATATTTATGCTGGATTTAACAGCATCCCTTTAGATACTGGCACATGCTTTTAAACATAATGATTTAGAATTCATTTTGCTGAGATGATTTTCTAACTTTTGCGATTTTTTTAACACCTGCCAATTACTACATTGAGAATGTTATATAACCAGTGTGATAACCTTGGAAGAAGGATGTACGACCTAATGAATCATAATTTATTATTTTTAAGGTCTAAATACCTAGATAATTTAAAATACAATTGTAGCCATCATATATAAATGCATATTATAGGAAAGATTTTTCTTTTGTAACAAGAAAAAAAATCATTTCTCTAAGGCTAATGAGATTTTAAATATGCCTTGACTTGAAAAACCTTTAGACTTTTGGATTAATTTTTTGGTAAATATTTCCCAACTCATGAGTGAAACTATAACCAGCAATTCAGCTTTGCTTCAAATAACCTGCTTTGTAAACTTCCACTCAAATCACAACCAAAAAAACCCTTATTTAAAATGTATTTAAATTAAAATTGAAAAATAAAAATTATGCACATCGCAAAAGAAATTGTCCCAAGTAGTGAGTCCCAACACCTTGCAAATTAGATCTGTGTTTATAGACAACTGTGTTGTTGCAGTGGAATTGAAACTAACCGGTAGCTCACCCTCCAGCCGGCTTCCAGAGGCTGTAAATCCCACGAGAGAATATTGCCCATCCTCTTGTTGAGTCACTGGTGGACTTGAACCATACACCTTTGAGTTGGCAGCACAGCTTCTTACCAGTAGACAACCAGCACTCCTAGAGAAGAGCATAGACATTTATCATTGATTTTTGGATTCATGAGGCCTTTGTGTGATAGTAACAATGCCAAAACCAGATTATTTTCAGACTACCTGGTGTCAAATACCAGCGTCACCACTTAGTGACCATGACCTTGAATTAGAACAGAACCTCTTCATGCTTCAGTCTTTCCATCTGTATGTTGTTCTGTACAGTAGTCAGAATCGACACATAACTGGGTTTTCAGAGGTAGTTCATCTCACGGAAGGAGATTTCCCATCTTTCTCCTGTGGAGCAGCTGGTAGTCTCAAACCTCATGCTTTTGGAATTGCAGCTCAGCTTCTTGCCAGTAGGCCAGATATAAAAACAAAACACACTCCTTACTACTAAGGATCCATCAGATCAGGGATTGGTTCAAACTGGGACTTCAGTGCCAAGCAAAAGAAAATATGTGACCACAAGATGGCAGTGTTGCAAAACAAGCTACATGAAGTCACACGTGGGTTGACAGACTTTTCCTTGTGGGACAAAGAAACTTTCCAAAAGCCAGTAGCTCTGCACTGCCCACCAGAAGGGGACTAGGGCAGAGAGCTCCTTCCAGTAACTTATGATTCTTAGGAGCCCTGTAGGATGGAATAAGCCGCCCACAGCATTGTAGACCTTTAAGGAAGGGAACTGCCTCGTCTCTATCCTGCAGATCCACTACAAGGTTTGATCTACTGACCTTTTAATTAACAGCACAATGCTTAATCCGATGAACCACCAGAAATTCGACAGATTAACATAAATCTTTTGTCCTTGTTCTGTATCTTAGAATTGAAATAAACTCACAGCTAACCATCCAGAGGAGATTATAAATGGCATGAGTGGAGATTGCCCATCTTTCTCCAGCAGAGCAGCTGGCGAATTTGAAATGCTTGCGCGTGTGTGCGTGTGTGTGTGCGCGTGTGTGTGTGTTCAGAAGTTGCCCAAGAGATGGGAAAAGAGAACAAAAAAAATGACTGCTTGCATCACATTTTTGCTTTGAGAGGATCCTCTCTAAACCTTCTGATATGTTGTCTCCGTTTTGGGTTTAGCTCCCAGACCAGATCTCCAATCACAGTGCCCTCCTCACCTACAGGGACTGTTGCCACTGAGCAGAGAACCAGGCAACTGGCAGGGGCCCCAAGAAGCCATGGCAGGACATCTCACTGCACTTGAGAGCCACAGTGATCCTGGTCCAAATCCTGACCCTGCCAGTTTTCAATTGTTGGACCGTGGACAATTTACATGAGCATTCCAGTGCCTTGCTTTTCTCATCTATAAAATGGGCATATCAGCACTAATGGTACAGAATTTTTAAAAGGGTTAAGTGAAATAATTTAAGGGAAGTTTAGCATATGCCCTAGTTATAAAAATGAGTTGTTAAATAACTAATGAAGTTGCTCATTCCAAGTGAGAATGATACCCTGAGGTTGTGATTTTACAGAAAATTTTAGATGTTTTCTAGAGGTCAGGGGTGTGTTAAGAGCTCGAGAGAGAGTCTATGTATCTTCACCTACACAGTATTCAGAATAAAATAATATTTTAAGGTATTAAAAAACCCTATATCCATTAACATGAAAATGGTGTCTTTCTGATGCTCGGCGTGCCATCTTCTGGAATCATCTAAATGGGCTTTTTTCCTGGTTTCTGTGGTATCCTTGTTTTGTGAGTAACTCAGCAGCATGGACTGCTGAATGTTTACAGTTATATTCAGAACTGTAAATAATAAATAGTGCAGAAAACAATTGTTCACGTCCACCCTCGAGGATTCTGGAGCCTCTCCCTCTTGTGCCCCAAAGATCGAGGCAGCAGTGGAGGCGGCCCGGGGGGCCTTTGAGGCCTGGTCGGCGCGGAGCGCCCAGGAGCGCGCGCAGGTCCTGAACCGCCTGGCCGATCTGCTGGAGCAGAACCTGGACGAGTTCGCGCAGGCCGAGTCCCGAGACCAAGGTGAGCACCGCTTGTCCAGCCGGCTTTTCTGCACTTTTCTGTCTCCTCTGCTCGCTCCTTCTGTCTCTAGGGGAGGCAGTTTGCGGCTGTCACTTACTAAATGCTTTATGAAAAGTTGGACATATGGCTCAGATGTTGTTATTTACCTTCAACTCAGAACCGACGCATAGCTGACCTGCCAGAGGGTTTTCAGAAGTTGTCAAACACATGAGGAGACTGCCCGTCTTTCTCCGGGGACAGCTATGGATTCTAATGGCATGGCTTTGAGGCATCAGCATAACTTTCACCACTAGGCCACTAGAGATTAACGTGTCTGATAATTAGTTTAATAGATAATTTCTTGCCTATGAACAATTACAGATGGACTCAGCCCCGTATCACCTCTCTGGCTTTTCCAGAGTCCCTCTGGTGCCCCTCTGGAGACTAAGCGTCTCACCCCTGTTCTCCTTTGCTGCTACCCCATGGCATTCCAGGGCTGCCTCATCACATCAGGCAGAGAGTGGTCTGCTGCATGCTGTCATTTGTACAGGACTGGGAAGCCCTTCCTGCTCCACAAAAGCTGCTCCCTATGGTAAGGGATTGCACTGCCAACACAAAGGTACACAGTTCAAATCGATTAAAAGCTCTGTGGGAGAAAGATGGGCATTTCCTCCCCTGCAATTTGTTGTTGTTGTTGTTGTTGTTGTGTGCCATTGAGTCACCTGCAACTCCTAGAAAACATTACATTAGCTCTGAACAGTACATTAGCTCTGAACTCTGCCCTATCCTGAGCCAGTCCCATCATTTCTGACAGGCCTACTCCCATTTCTCCAGTCACTGAGTAAATCCATCTCATCTGCATCTTCCTCTCCTGTGTTATCCTTCCACCTTTCCAAGCATGATGTCGTTCTCCAATGCCCAAAGTTATGTGAGATGACATGCCAAAATTCTTGCCTCCAGGGAGCTGCTTGTTTTCACCCTCTCAAGGACAGACCTATTTGTTTTCCTGGTAGTCCACAGTATATTCGACACTCTTCTCCAGCTCCACAACTCAAAGGCATCAATTCTTCTGCCACCTTAGTCATTGTCCAGCCCTCTGATGCATAGCATGTGATTGTGAAGACCCCAAGGGCCTGGATCAGGTGCACCTTAGTCTCCAGACTGACATAATTTCTTTTTCAGTACTCTGGAGAAATCCATGACAGCAGACTCTCCCAATACAATTTGTCTTTTTTGACTTCCTGGCCTGGCCACTGGTGCCAAGAGTGTTGATTGCAGCATCAAGCAAGCTGAAGTTGTTAAGAATCTCAATCTCTTTTCTGTCTATCATGAAGCTGCCAAATGGTCCAGTGGTGAGAATTTTTGGTTTTTTTTGAGGTTGAGCTTAAATCTATATTTTTGCAGTAAATGTCTCAGGTCCTCCTCAGTTTCAGCAAGCAAGGTTGTATCATCTGCATAATGCAGGTTGTTGAGTTTTCCTCCAATCCTGACACCACATTCCTCCTCCAGCCTTCCAAATGATCTGTTCTGAAAACCTGCTGGAAGGTCAGCTAAGGGTCAATTCTAACTAGATTGTAGCCAACAACAATGTCTCTCAAGAGAGGTCTCTTGCTGTTAGGTGCCGTTGAGTGGAGTACGATTCACAGCAATCCTATGAACAACAGATCTGAATCCTATCCTCTCCTGTGCCATCCTCATCATTTCTGACATTCTTGAGCCCATTGCTGCTGTCACTGTGTCAACCTATCTCGTTAAAGGTCTTCCTCTCTTTGGTGACCCTCCACCTTTCCAAGCATAATGTCCCTCTCCAAGGAATAGTCACTCCTCACAACACGCCCCAAAGTATGTGAAATGAAGTTTTGTCACTTTGCCTCCAAGGAGCACTCGAGCTGTACTTAGTGGTAAGGAATTGCACTGCCAACCCAAAAGTGTGTAGTTGGAAGCCATCAGCCACTTTGTAGGAGAAAGATAGGATATCTCCTCCCAATAGACAGCTTCTGAAAACCCGCTGAAGAGTCAGCTATGAGTCGGTTTCCACCGGCAAGTATATAATAGCAAGATGTTTCAATAAGATAGACTGAGGCAGTGACTGTAACAATGGGCTCATGCACATCAGAGATGGTGAGGATAGTACCGGACAGGACAAGGTTTAGATCCATATGGTCATCATGAGTGTAGTGGACTTGATGGCATTTAACAACAACAGTCCTGCAGGAAGATGGAGCATTCTTCCAGCAGAGAAGAGCACTTGTTTTATCAGATTTCCCTGACTGGCTGCTGGACCAAGGCTGTTAGACGTGGCGGGAAGGGCCCCTGCCTCCCACCCCGTATGCCCTCCCTGGGACTTCTGTGTTACACAGATAGTTGTATGGTGCCATCCAGGCGGTGCTCATAGACACTACAGACAAAACCAAACCCTAGTCACTCCTGCTCCGTCTTCACAACCCCTGCTGTGTTTGAGCCCATTGCTGCAGCCCATGGCAGCTCATCCTTTTGAGGATTTTCTTCTTTCTTACTCAGATGACTTGCTTTGGTCATTAGCATGAATGAGGATTGCACTGTCTCAGTCTAGGCCTCACAAAGCCTTCTGTATTCTTGAGTTCCACCTCAACCACTGTCATGAGAAAAGCCTGCCTGAGATGGCTGGAGAATGGCTGATCCAGGCCGGGTTTGGTGAAGAACTCAGCTGAGCTCTGCTCCACATGCTTCTCATCTTCTTCCTGGCATGCTTTTCATCCGACTAACCCCCAAGTCCACAGGGTAAGGAAAATATACTTTGCCCCTTTGATGGGAGGAACTGCAAAGATCATGACCAAAGCCATGGATGTGGGGGGAGGTTAAGAACTGCAGCTGAGGATGTCATCTTCACAGACCCTCTTACACCAAGTCAAGAATACTAAAGCAAATATAATTTGAAGAGTAATTTACACAGTCAAGTTCTTTGGAAAAATCTGGTGGCTTATGGCAAGAAGCTGTGCTGCAACCCGAAGACATGTGGTTTGAGTCCACCAGCTGCTCCATGGGAGATGGAGGGAGATCTTTTATGCCATTAACTGCCTCTTAAAACCCACTGGAACCCAATTACAAAATGGGCAAAAGACATGGAAAGAATTTTCACAGAGGAAAATAATAGAATGGTCAACAGACACATGAAGAATTTCTCAACATCACTGGCAATAAGAGAGATGCAAATCAAAACCACAATGAGATACTATCTCACTCCAGTAGCAGTGGCAAAGGACAGCAAGTAAGAAGTGTTGGAGAGGATGTGGTGAGATAGGAACTTTGGTACATTGTTGGTAGGATTGTAAAATGGTATAACCAACTCTGGAAGGCAGTTTGGCATTTCTTCAGAAAGCTGAACATAGAAAATTCATACGACCCAGGTATTTCACTGCTTGAAATAGACCCAGAGAAAATGAGTACTGAGGCACAAATGGAGATTTGTACACCAGTGTTGATAACAGCATTATTCACCATTGCAAGAACATGGAAACAGCCCAAATGTCCAACCACAATCGAATGGATTGAGAAATTATGGTACATTCACACAATGGAATATATGACACAGCACACAGGAGCGAGCAATGATTCTGTAAATTACTCCTTAACTTGGGAGGGACTGGAGAACATTATGCTGAGTGAACTAACTCAGTCCCATAAGGACAAATACTGTATAAAACCATTATTGTAGAAAGAGTATGAGGATTCAAGGTGGAGGCAAGAAGGATGGCAGCATTGGGGTGAGGATGGGGGGGGTCATTAATCATGGGGTCATACAATTTGATGGGGGTGAGGAAAATGGGAAGGAACTGGTCTGAAAACAATTTATTTTATAAACAAACTAGTATTTTATAAATTATAAGTTTTATAAATAAACTAGTACTTAAAAACCCCAAAACCCAATGGAGGGTCAGCTGTGGGTCGCCTCCAACTTGATGGTATACAACAAAAACAACAATTTGATGTCAGTTACTATTGCACTCCCAGATATCAGGCTAATAGTGAAGTCAGTCTTTGTAACACATGGGTTAATTAAGAAGTAAAATCTTTCTTAGAAAAGTAAGCTTGTGCAACAATGAATGATTGAAAATCCTAAGTCTCTGTAAATTTTCATTAAAATTAATTAAAAAAAAAGAAAAATAAGCTTGCTGTATACTATTCTGTAGGGAGCTCGGGTGGTCTAGTGATAAGAAACTGCACTGCAATCTCAAGGGCATACGGTTCAAGTCCACCGGCTGCTCCCAGATGGAAAACCATGAATGGGCAGTCTTCTCCCGAGCCATTTACTGCCTCTGAAAACCCACTGGAGGGCCAGCTATGTGTCCATTCCTACTGCACACAACAAAACTGATAACAACAACGTTAGAAACTAACTTTGACTCCGAGATCACTGGAAGTAAAGAGGTCATTGACCCAGCAGCGCATGCGCTCTACACCTGGAAAGCCTTGCTGCGTCTCAGCCCAGAGCTGGAGAATCGCGGGGTGTGAGTTGGGAGGCTGGTGAGACTCGCGCATCCCGTGCCCACATCAGCCTCTGCCACGTGCCCATCTCCACAGCCCGACAATGTGCAAATAAACAGCACGTGTTTATAAACCATGTTTTTGTGATGTACAAATACAGCTGTCTTGACACCCATTGTTCCAACTCCTTTGCAGCACTTACAAAACCCAGTGATTTTCAATTGAAAGAGTTTGTGTGGGCGAAGCCTGCAGCATCTGGTAAACTCATGATTGCAGTCAGGGATTCTTTTCAGGTGGCAACGCACAGATCATTTGACTCATCTGTAATTCCATATTTTGTTGAGTTCAGATTTAATTATTTTGTGGTTTTATCAAGCAGTGACTAACCCTTTGTATGCCTGCCACTAGGTGGACGGAGACAAGGACATCTCCGAGGGAGTGGGGGGACCCCAGGGAAGGGGTGATGGGGCAGAGTGTCTCCTCTCATTGTGGTGGGACGCTCGACGGTGGTACCTTACCTTGTTTGTTCTTCCAGGAAAAACCTTAACACTGGCAAGAACCATGGACATCCCCCGGTCCGTCCAGAACTTCCGCTTCTTCGCTTCGTCCATTCTTCACCACACGTCAGAGTGCACGCAGATGGATCACTTGGGCTGCCTGCACTACACCGTGCGCACCCCGGTGGGCGTCGGTAGGTGCTGCCCACCCACGCCCAGGGCGCGAGTACGCTGAGAGACACAGCCAGGTCCTATTAAGCTGATTGATTAAAGGAGCAGTTTAAGGAAAGAACAGATTCCCCACCCCTTTTACTAAAATTTGACACACGCTTCCCTCTCCAAGTTCTCCATAGCGATGTAGTCCGCAGGACTTGGTACTCTGCTGCTAACAAGGCCTCAGGTCTCTCTGGTAGTTCAAATCCACCAGCTGCTCTGCAGGAGAATGATGGACAATCTCCTCCCTTCAGTTTTCAGCCTCTGAAAACCCACTGGAAGGTCAGCTATAAGTCGGCTTCGACTCAACAGCGTTGAGGTTGTTTATTTTAGAATCTATTTCTAGTTTATTTTCTTTGTATCAAGTTTCTTACTTATTCCTGGAATATTGGTCTTGGAAAATCACATAGAAAAGAATGACAATGAAAAGAAATGCACACACATGACGCGGGAGAGCCTTTGTACTTAAACATCTGTTGTTGTTATATTTCGGAGGAACATTCTTCTAAGTAGTACAGCTCTCTTCTGTCAATATGCTGTACCGAGGTAACCTGGTGTTTCTGTGATGTTGAACCTTGTGCCACTGAGGTGTCAAATGCCATAATGGTTACCTATGGTGGACGGTGTTTGGTGGAGCTTCCAGTTTAAGATAGGTTTGGAAGCAGGAGTGGCATCCAACTTCCTAAACAACGTGCCTCTGGAAACTATGAACTTTGAGAAACAACGATAGTTATAGAAAAGCTTTTGGTCTTTTTTTTCATAGGGTTGCTATTAGTCGGGCTTGAGTTAATGTCAATCAACAACTGTAACTGCGGTGAGGGGGGTGGCAAAACAGCACATATAAATGCATGGATTGTGGAAATATGTAGAAGCCAAATTAAACTTTTCGTTTCAATGTTTTTATAATCTTGAATAATGATTTAATGCCATCATATATATATCATGTGTATAAATATATATTTGTATGTAAAAAATATATTAGTAAGTATAACATGTGAACAGTGAGAGATAAGTGGTGTATAAACGTGTACTAGGAATTCTTTAGAGGCATTTTGGTGGCACAATCGTTAAGTACTGAAGTACTAACCCAAATTCACCATCCTCAACTCTGCAGGAGAAAAGACCACACAATCTGCTCCTGTAACAAGTAAAGCCTAGGAAAGAAACCCTCTGAGAAGTTCCTCTCTGTCTTACAGGGTAGCTTTGAGTTAGAATCTACTCAATAGGACAACAACAACGAATTATCTCATTCATTCATTCATTCATTCATTCATGGAAGCAGAAGGGAAGATAATACTAACCTGCTATGACTAAAAGCATCCAGTAGATGGCACTGTTCCCTCTGAGTAAAAAAAAGCCACGTTCACTTCACTAGCTGCATTTTATGGAGGGAAGAAAACACAGTAAGTTAAAAGGAAAGAAAATAGGACATTTTACCGCCTTGTTTCTTTGAAGCCTCAGGAAACCATATTTTCAAGGCAATAAGCGAAGTCAAATCTCCTCATAGAAGTATGTTAATAAGTTATACTTAAAGCATATTCTGTTATCCCCCAAAGAACAGAATATTTTTTCCAAAGGGAAACTTGATATAAAGAAATGTTTACTTTCAGAGCACAGGAGTTAAGGAAGAGTTTAAAATGACATGCACGTATTTTCTTATTCATATGGAAGGTTTTATTTTTGCCAGTTTTCATGGAGCTTGGGCAGTTTTAGAATCTTTGCATGGAGACAGTTACTTATTCAGCAAATTGACCTGGCCTGACTACAGATGATAACCTAGGATGAATTATTGAAGGAAAAAAAAAACCCAAAACCCCAAGCCAAAAAGTCCTTTAGCGCACCAGATGGCTTTCACAGGTGCTCTCAAGGGTCATGGTGTTATAACGGTTGAGTTAGAGCCTACGCATAGCTGAGAGCCTCGAGCGGGTTTTCAGAGGCATTAAATCACATGGGAGGAGATTGTCCATGTTTCTCCCACGGAACAGCAGGCAGAGTCCAACTATGTGCCTTAAAGGATCAGAAAGAACCAATTTACTCTTATTTTCAAATAATTCTGAAAAGTCCGAGGTTGGTGTCTCAAAGCCCCATAGGTTAAGATTGAAGGGGGGGGGGGAAGCTGTGAGAAGAAACAATAGCTAACCAGTTTGGTAACAAGTTGTTGTTGGTGGATGGTCAAGTAGGAACCCACCCATAGCTGATCCCCCAGTGGGTTTTCAGGAGCAGTAAACAGCACAGGAAGAGATTGCCAGGGCTCTTGGGGAGCAGCTGGTGGATTTGAACTGCAAGTCTTTGGCATTGTAGCCCAGTTTCGTATCACCAGGCCACCGGTGGGAGACTCAAAGCAACTCGTTTCTTTTGAATTGGAACCAACTTGTAGCTGATCTTCCAGCGAGTTTTCAGAGGCTGTAAATTGCCTGGGAGAGATTTAAAGGAGTGAGAAGTTAAAAAAAAGAAAGAAAAAAAGAAGAAACTATAAAGACCAGTCTGTAAAAGCTTGTGTTCGGGGACTTTTTAACCCCAGAGCCAATACTGCTATTGTTCATATTTATAATCAGAAGCCATCCAGAAATGGATAAATTATACTGATCTTATTCTATTTTAAAAGGAATAGTTGCTTGAACTATATTTTAGGACTAGTTCGCTGAAGTTGGCCCCAAATGAGTCGAGTGTTAGGTTTTAGCAGTGCACGCATACTTCACGTGCCCTGTGGTGGTCCAGATTTAATGATCACAGTTGGCCGGTCTGCCTCTGGGGGCCTGTCATTACCGGCCATGCCTCTCTTTTTGTTTTTAGCTGGCCTCATCAGTCCTTGGAATTTGCCACTCTACCTGCTGACCTGGAAGATAGCACCAGCGATTGCTGCTGGGAACACTGTGATAGCCAAGCCCAGCGAGCTGACTTCGGTGACCGCATGGATGCTGTGCAAACTGCTGGATAAAGCAGGTAATTCGGTGTGGAACGCTAACGGGGAGGCAGGGGTTGGCTTAGGGGTTGTAAATCGTGTAGACATCAAAGCCCATTGTATACCCAACTTCTGTAGTTAGAGCAAGATTTTTCAGAAGGAAAATATTTGCTCAACGGTCAAATGGATTCTAGTGACATTATTGGATTTTTCCCTCTCTGATTGTTCTCTGGGCAGTTCCTTTGATGGAAAGGACCCCAGTTCCCCAGCCCCACCTCACTTTTCCCTCTATTCAGCTCCAGGATAGGGCTGAAAACGAACAGATTTATCAGGTGAGAGTGTAAAACTAACACAGTATCAGTACACCAATAGACTTAGGAATCCCTGGGTGGTATAATTGACTAGCAAGTGTGGCTGCTAATGGAAGGTTGGAAGTTCAAATCTACCCACAGGTGCCTCAGAAGAAAGGCCTGGTGACCTACTTCTGAAAAATCAGTCATTGGAAATGAGTATAGTTTTTTTTCTAATACACATAGGATTTCTGGGACTTGGAATTGACTCAGTGACAGAACTGGAAGCTTTTTGTTTGTTTTCCATAAGGTTAAAGAGGTCTGATCAAATTAGGCACCAACCTGATACATTTTCTTGTATAATTTACTTAAATTTGAGCTTTGAACCATGTTGCTCTTGAGAAAGTAAGACTATTGCTAGGAACTTGTATGGTTTGTTTAGACAGCTAATATTGGTAGGTGTCACTGAGGTGAATACAATTAACAGCAACCCTGTAGACAGCAGATGGGAACCTTGGCCTGTTCTGTGCCATCATCAAGTTCAAGTCCATTGTTGCAATCACTGTGTCAATCCATCTAGTTGAGAGTCTTCTTTCTTTTGTTGTTCCTATGCTTTTCCTATCATGATGTCCTCCAAGAATTGACCCCTCCTGACAACATGCCCAAAGTAATAAGAGAACATTTCACCATCCTTGCCTCTAAGGAGCACCTTAACTGCACTTTCTCCAAAACAGACTTGTTTTTTCTTTTGATTGCTGGTGTTGTTTATGTGCCATTGAGTTGCCTGAGACTCACAGCGACCCCGTGTGCAATAGCTCTGAAACCTGCTCTATCTTGAGCCAATCTCATTGTCTTTGATACACCCACCTCCATTACCCCAGTCACTGAATCAATCCATCTCATTCACAGTCTTCCTCTCCTGTGCTGTCCCTCCATGCTTCCAAGTATGATGTCCTTCTCCAAGGCCTAGTCCTTCCTGGCCACATGCCCAAAGTATGCAAGACAGAGTGTAAAAATCCTTGCCCCAAAGGAGCAGCTTAGTTTCACCCTCTCTAGGACAGACCTGTTTGTTCTCTTGGCAGTCTACATATATTTAATACTCTTCTCCAGCACCACAACTCAAAGGCATTGATTCTTCTTCTATCATTCTTTGTCGTTGTCTGGTCTCTGATGTATAGCAAAGACCATGGCCTGGATCAGGTGCACCTTATTCTCCAGATTGGCATCATTGCTCTTCAGTAATCTAGAGAGGTCCCTAACAGCAGATTTCCCCAGTGCAATTTATCTTTTGATTTCCTGACTGCTGATGCCAAGAGTGTTAGTTGTGGAACCAAGCAAGCTGAAATTGTCAACAGTCTCAGTCTCTTCTTTGTCTATACTGATGCTGCCAATTGGTCCAATGGTGAGAATCTTTGTTTTCTTGATGTTGAGCTTCAATCTATATTGATAGCCCATCATATATCTGATACTCTTTACCAACACCACAATTCAAAGTCATCAATTCTTCTGCCATACTTATTCATTATCCAACTTTTGCATGCATAAGAAGTAATTAGCTATCACATACAATTAGATATCAGACATCATTCTGGGAAAGATAGAGGGTCAGTGAAGAGAAGAAAACTGTCAATAAACTGGATTGTCACAGTGACTGTAACAATGGGCTCAAGTATATCAGAGATGATGAGGATGGCACAGAATAGGGCAATCTCTTCCTGTGCAGTTTACAGCCTCTAAAAACCTGGTGGAGCATCAGCAATGAATCGATTCCGACTCAATGGCAATAAACTGACTGATGGATAGAAAGCCCTCAGTTTCTTCAGTGTCAGCTCATTCATGTGGTGACAAACCTCAAAACTCACTGTTGCAGAGTGAGAACCAGCTCATAGCGGACCCCTCAGCAGGTTCCCACGGCTGTGGATTGAGAAGAGGAGGAGAAACCCCACCTTATTCTCATGGAGCTGCTGGTGGATTTGAACCTGTCAGGGAGGAGCGGTCTTTGGGCTAGCAGCACCATGTCCTGTGGATTAGACCTCCAGAGCTCTTTCGGTGATAAATAGGTAGTGGGTATATGGTCTGTTTCATACTTTTCTCTTGTTAAAATACTAGAAATGCCACTTTAAATACTAGAAATTATTCAATCCTTTTCCCCCCCTCCTTCAGGATTTATAAAGCTTAACATTGTACCACCTTCCCCCCAGCCCCATCCTGAGAGCCCAGGGCGTGGCAGAGCCAGGCCTTGGAAATGGTGGGAGACATCCCCTGGTGAGGGGCTTGTCCTCTGGACCTCCTCTTCATCCACTGGGGCCCAGGGGCTTTCACACCAGGCCCAGCCCACACTGGCCCTCCTCTAGTGACCTCTGGTGGGGCCCTGTCCGATGCCCTATGAGTTACTGAGCCTTTTGCCTGGAAAGTTTAGCTGACTTCCACACTGTACTCCATTCCTAGGGCTACCATAACAAAAAACCAACACAAAGTGGGTGGCTTTTAAACATGGAATTATTCCTCACAGTCCTGGAACCTGAGAATCTGAGACTACAGTGTCGGCCATATTGATTCTGTTTGAGGTTCTCTGAGAGAGAAACAGTTCCATGTTCCCTCCTAACTGGAATCTCCAGGTGTTTTGGAGCTGTGGCGTCATACGGATGCTTATATCTTGCTGTCTTGGTTTATCTTGTCTTTTTTTTAATTAGAACATCAATCCTATAGGATTAGGACCAACTGTATTCTGGTATGAGTTTGTGGTAGCCTAAAATAAGACCCTGCTTCCAAGCAGAATCACGTTCCTGGGCACAGGGGGATTCCAACATCTCTTTCTTGGGAACATGATTCAGTTCCTAACAGGACTCGCCTCGGGGAGGCTTTCATTGTCCACAATGACTATGCTGGTAGGATGTGGCTTTACAGGAAGGGATTATGGATGGCAATGAAACATTTGCATGAGATTTTTATCTATATTTACTTATTTAAATAAGTATTTAAATTATAAGTAAATATTTGTATTTCTAAGGAGATTCTTTTATTTGGATTCTTAAAGAGGTAATTTTAATCCAATACTTTTTTTTAAAAAAAATCTATATAATGGTTAGATTTTCCAAGTTGTACAGTTCCCACTTTTCTTTCCTATGTTGCCCCTTCTTTGTCAACTCGCTGCCTCCTATGTTTCTGTTCTATCCTTTGATCACATACGGCTGTCTTTACCGTGGTCTTCAAGTTGAAAGCTACTCATAGTTTACCCTCCATCGGGTTTCCAAGGCTGTAAATTGAACAGAGGAAAATAGTAAAACAGTTCATCTTTCTCTCATGGAGCCATGAGTGGCTTTGAGAGAAGCATTGTCTTTAAGAGCACACACTTCTCATGAGGACAATGTCATATGTGAAGCAAAGAAAAGATACCACAAGCAGGGGAACAGCTGATAAACTATATACACTGGAGGTTTCTGTACCTGCTGTGAGGCCAAGCCTGGAGCAATATTGATACTCAATCCATCTCCCAAGGCAGACCACAATTACTGCCAGACACAACACAACTGTTCACACAATTTTCTTTCTGGACTCCTAACACTTTCCAAATTTAAGAAGCATGTCAAATCTGTATAATGTACATTAAACATTCATTCATTTATTCACTTGTTTATATTAATTATTATATAT